TATTTTTACTGATCTCAAACTAATATTTTTGTTTCATATTCAATTTATTTTCTATCTTAATAATTCTGTATGCATACAAGAACAATTATCATAAAAATGTAGTTGAATAAAATTTTTATTTATTTTTCTCAAAAGAAATCTTTTGATTCAAAAATGAAATAAATCTACGCCACCGACTATGTCTAGTTAATACTTTAGATATTCAAATAATCATAAAATAAATTTTAAAGTGCTTGTTCAATGCAAATTGATGATTATCTTTCAAGAATTTATTCTTAATAATTAAGATAAGAATGACTAATTTACTTATTAATATGATAGACATTTCTAGATAATTAATTTACTGAATGAAACAGATAGATTAATCGACAGTCAGTGTAAAGAATGTATTTTTTTGTACCTTTTCTCTTTCAAGTTAGTCTATGTGATCATTTATTAGTATGAAAATATTTATTATAGAACAAAGCATCAAGAATTCTGCACAAACCTTTATGGTTGTACGAATGAGCATATCATATGTAGCTCTATTCATAATCTCAATAAATAATTTTCAATGTACCACTTCATTGGAATTCGAACTCAATAGAAGCAAAATCGAAATGATTAAGAAAAATACAAATATTCATGTCAATAAATAGTGGAAAAAAAAACAGTTTCGATATGACTACAACAATACAAAAAAACGACTTGTCCGAGTTTATTGGAGACTTGAAACCATTTTTTTTTCTGAAGATGAGTTTTGAAGTTAAAGAGAATTGGTTTCTCATAGGACTTTACTTTCAATACTAAAGACTGAATGAATAACAAATATTCATTCTGATGTTCTTCTTTTTGTATTAGTTTTCTTTTTCTTACCATATGGTTTTTAAACCTTGCATTAAGTTAGGTAACATATTGATAATAGTTTGAAATGATTTAGTCATTTGTAACGTTTTTAAATGTCTTTCAATTGTCAATAAAAACTTATAATTATCTGTTGCTTCTAATAGATAACTTTGAAGTTGTAATTTTATATTATTAAATCCTGATAATGAAGGACTATCAATACTTTGTAAAACATGCATAATTTTCATGACATCATCTAGAAAAAAAAAATAAAAAAAAAAAACAGAATTGATCATTTAACAAAACCTTTTTTCATTTGTTCTAAAATTGATGTTATTCGAATAGATCGTTCATGCCAAAATTCTAATTCAGCAAGTGGACTTGAATCTATTACTCGTTTATTTAATTCATTATTCATTTCTTCATGTAATATTCTTTCCCAATTATAAAAAAGATATTCAAGATTTTCAATATATTCTTCATCTGTTTCATCTCCATTAATTAAAAAATTTTTATTTGAAATAATTAAATTAAATTCACCTTGTATTTGACGTAATGTTGATTTAATATGTAAAAGAAAACGATTTAAACTTAAATGTAATTGATCACGTTGAGATGTTTCTTCAATTGATGGAGATATTAATCCATCTAGAGAAAAAAAAAATAGGTGTTGGTACCATCTCTGTCGAACTAAACTGTGATTCACAATGTAGTTGGTATGGCTAATTACAGGAAGATTGTTTAATTCTATCTATTTTAGGATACATTTCTTCATTAGCCAGAAATATAATTAGAAAGTAGTGCATATATTCAAAATGAAACTTTACTGATATACAGTCTGGAATTTTATAACAACAACATCTGTCATAATCAGTGGAAAGTTAAGATTTCTACACCAATACACTAAACATTCCTTTTAAATTGTGTTTCAGACAATTAATACAGCTAACAAGTATTCAAAAAAATAACCTACCAAAAAGAAAAAAGAATAGAATAGTTTCGCTATATTTTGATCAGATCGGTTAATTTTTTTTCTCAATGATAGCGCAAAGTTCGAAACTTTTATTCATGAAGAAAAATTTTAGTACTATCACATAAAACAATACTTTAAAAAGAAAACTTTACAGTTTCTGATAACGACTTTAGCCTACTGTAATATTATTTAAATTGTCATGTTCTAGAATTTTCTCAATTTTTTCAAAATAATTTATTTTCAACCTTTGAGTTTTTCGCTAGGCCATTTAATCAGAGTTCAACAAGTCTAATGTATTCAGCTCTATATCTAGCTAATCCGATATGTCATAAAGTGTTCTTATACAGAAAATTCTCGAGAAATCCATATGACTGCATTTAATTTTTAATAGATTAGTTGCATGGGTAGTTAATCGTTTAAAGACGCGAAACGTGTTTATACGTTCGATTTTTCAAATCAAATTCTCATTAATTTGTGCATAGAGCTTATGATACTGTTATAATTTGCGCTTGCTTATGGATCGTTAGTCTATTATATTGTCATTTATATTATGAGGAAAAGAAGTTCTACACTCATCTTCATCCTAAAGATTATTATATTCTGAAATGCTTCTCGAAATTTTCTGATATCAAGATGAACAAAAATATATCCCATCAAACATTCGAAAATTTACCTTTTATTTTCTTAAAAGAAATCTCGTCCTCAAGTAGTTAACTTACAAAGACACGAAAGTATTTGAAAACTTTTTTTTTGTATCAAAATGATTAATAGAACAAGCTCTTTAAAACTAGATATATCCAACTAAAACCATTCTGATGACTACATCTCTTGTAGCAGACTACTGATGTAAGTACCCAATAGAAGGTTGACATTTAGACTTAAGTATATAATGTTAGTTTTTAATTGCTTCAATAAGCTGATGGTATGTGAAGAAAAAAATTAGCTTGTTTTGACAATACACATGGGAGATACTCGCTGTCTCTTTGATGTACTATTTTTGAGGTACTCAGATAATTCCAAATTTTTACTTTTTGATGATTGTTCATTGATTGATGGTAAGATATCCTTATAAATAAAAGATAAAATATCTACAAGTGATAAAAGTGGTTGTCCTTCAGGAATAATTCCATAAATAATGTTTTCATTCATAATTAAATTCATTTCATCATATGTTGATGATTGAATTAAATATTGTTTAATATCTGTTCGAATATAATAAACAAATGTTTTTTTTATTAAATTATCATAATGATAATATTCACAATAAAGATGTATTTGATGAAATGATTTTAATGCAAAATGATAATTTTTATTGTCATATTGATTAATAACTAAAAGACGTTGAATATTTTTTAAATATTCATATGAAGAATTAATTATATCACCAGATAATAAACGAGCATGATTAATAACATAATCAACTAGAATAATTAAAAAAAAGAAACAAAATTCTTTTTCAATTTTCTCTTTTTCTGTTGTGAAATTATTTTCATATTTACTCGAATACTCAGTTTCTGTATTGATTGATTCATTAACATTTAAAATCAATTGTTGATCATTATCATCATCAACAAACTACAAAATATTCATGAAATTTTATTTATATATTTTATTTTTAAAATTTTTATACATCATCAAATTCTTCTTCATCAATTGTTTCAATCATTTGCCAAACATCTCGTTTTGAATCTTCACGATGAAATATTAATGCATATGATCTTTCGTGTAAAGCTGTATTCATAGTAAGAAATTTATCAATTAGATCTTCATTAAAACCATTATTTCGTTCTAACATATTGATAAATATTGACCTATCAATATTTAACATTTGACATGTTCGACGACAAAGCCACTCAAGACGAAAATCATCTAGCATTTTTCTTTCTTTCGTTTTATTTGATATCTCCGATTAAACAATATTTCTTTTTTTCAAACTTTAGTTCATTATTAGATAGTCGGCGCCAAACATCGTAATACAAGGATTCAAGTTGATGATTTACAAAGAAGATAAACATTTTAATCTATACATAGTAACGTTCAAAACTTTTTCCAGACAAGTTTTATTTAAAAAAATTATTAGCTTTATTATTCTTAAATTGTACTTTATATGTGCTTCAACAGTATTGATAAAATGATGAAGAATCAAAAGATTGAGTATCGCTCAATAGTTAAGTTTCTTGGTTCGAAATAACGATCTCCATCCAAAATTTATTAAAATATACTATCAGTTTATTTTGATTACACACCATCGTTTAATTCAATTCATATAGATTAGCTGAATATTTTTAATATACAATCGTACTACTAAACACAACATTTCTTGTACTATCAATTGCAAAAAGCAAAATGGCACAACCTGTTGGTATACCACTTTTCATTAATAGTTGAAACCATGGATTTGTAGCTTAACTCTTCGTGTCTCATAGTAGCAAAAAAGCTACATGTATTTTATGATTATGTTTCATAACATAATTTATAAAAATGACTACCTAATCTCTTGCAATGAAGCAATACAGAATGCTCTAGAATTTTTTCCAAACTATTTGTAGAAGAGATAAATAGTGATTCATTGAGAAAGTTCCGATTGCTGACCAAAGTATACGGAAAAGAATAGGTAGACATATTCCTTATTCTGTCAGAAAGCAGAAATGAATTGAACAGGCGTGATAGAACAAATCTTCATTAATACAATTTTTAGCACATATGCCTGTTCCTGGATCTAGAAAGGAACATACATATATTGCACTACAAGAAATTCATCTGTGTTTAGTAGCATAAAATGCATTTTTTTTTGTCGTATTTTTCGTTACGTTAATAAAAACTACAAACTGTTTTTGTTATTTCTCTATCATTAAAGTTTCTATTCACATAGAACAAAATTCAATAAAACTTATACTAAGTAAATCACATGCGAGCACATGCAGAGTATTTATGTTATGCGCTTGTGTCTAAAATAAGTTAATCTAACAGCCTATTTGAATTGAATCCAACAGAAATAATTTGGGATTACAAGGAAAAATGAATGACTAATTTTTCATTTCTTTATGAATTAAAAGATAATAAGAAAATTAAATTTTAATGTTGTCCAATTGTTTTTTTTCATATTCTTCTATACATGAAAAGTAGTATGTTTAGTAGCAGGAACGTTTTATTTCAATAATATACGTAAATAGGTAAGGTTTAGCGAATTAGTTCGATATTTTTATTTATGCTTTATGACATAAAATATAAAAAATCCTACAGCAACGAGAATTATAAGAATCCATGGACAGCAGCACTTTGCCTTTGTTTCAATTTGTTCTGGTTCTTGCTCTAGATTGGCATCTGATTCATCTATATCAATTGCTGTTTCATCCATAGGATTTTGAATAACTGGAAAATATCGCAGCGTATCGTTATAGCTGTCTGGATGTATCCATGCATCTTGAGCTTTTTGATAAAGAATTTCATTAATCGATTTACTTGGTGGATCCATCTTTGGTTTATCGAATTTCATCATCCATTCTGGATATGTTTGGCAATACTTGTCTTTAAGTTTCATAATAGGAATTAAATTAATATTTTCACCAGTTTTGCGTGCATCGATTGCTCGGGCAAAGAGTAGAGCACATTCTTCACATTCTTTCGAAAATGTACCATTAGAATGTTTGTCAGCAATGACTGAATGTGTATTAGCGATAATACCGGGTGCTGTATCTGTGAATGTATCAAGCACATGATCCACAATGAGTTCATTAGTTATACGATTGACACAAGATTTCTTAGTAGATGGATACAATAATGGTTTAACAACCTCTTCAATTTGAAACTCATTACCCCAATAAACCCAATACTGATCACCATCAAGATCAGCCCCAGCCATTTCATTGAAACTAGGTCGATGACCATTAGTAGAAAATACAATACAATCACGTATACAAGATTGAAGTTTTGGTACATATACTGCTTCGAGCTTACGGATGTCTCCCGGATGAAGACATGGATTTTTAGTGACTAATACAGTACCTATAATTATGATATAAAGATGATTCAATTAGTTAATAGAAATATGAATCATTAATATTATACCTATATGCACAATATATTTTTCGAACGTTGACGAATTTTCAAGACTACGATATTGAATGAAACATTCTCCTGATTTTAATGTACCAGTTTCATCGGCTATGCCGAATAGACATCGAGCTTCATTGACAGGCAACGGAATTTTGTTACGAATAAGAAAGTTTTTCCTACAAATCTCAACAACATAGACATTATTATTAATGTAATTCTTAACATAAACTCACGCATTTTTATATTTTTGTTGATTTTCATTTATTATTGATTGATTAAGAGAATCTAATGCATTCAAATAACATTTTGCTGGTGGATGCCAAAACTCTTTCCGATCAATACATCGCATTTGAATAGATTCGAATATACCATTACTATTGCCCAAATCACTCAATAATCGAATAATTTGATTATTCAAACTCAATGGCACTATAAATATTCAGAACAACAAATAATATATTGAAAATCATTGATTGATTATTCACTAGGTCGAGAATGATCAACAATATAAAGAGTCCAATCATCACTTTCAAATTTGACCATACTTTTTCGAACTTTAATATAGAATTCATTTGATTTCGATTTAGGATCAACCGATAACATGCCTTTACATCCAGCTATTCGAACTTGAAAAGCCGATGGTATATCTGACTAAAGTTTCATAATATAAAATTAAATGGATAAAGTATCAAAAACAAAAAAACAAATAACCTTTTCGTTAATTTGAATGCCAATACTATGCGCTATTTTTTTCGCAAGACCAAGCGAAATTGTGCCACACCCATCAGTGAAACAAAATTCATTGTGTTCAATATCTGGAATAATAGTAGCCGTATACTCTATATTCTTATTGTTAGATTTAAAAAACTAAATAAAACAATTGCTAACAAGTGAACTATTATATAGATCTTTATCATACCCAGCGTCTGATTGCTGTTATCAAATGTGAGAATCCCCTAGATGTTTGTTCCGAATATGACATTTCATTATAGGTTAGTTTAATCTAAATTTAAAAACAGAGATTGTAATATCTAACAATTTTTTTAGAAACATCATCAAAATGATAGTTGCGAATCATATTATTTCAATTGACTACTGAAGAAATTGATCAACGTTTTTAAAAAAAGCGAGTTGAAAATTTAAAGATAGCAATCGATAAAAATCTAATAAATTACCCCAGTTGACTTTAATGTTGTCAGATATAGACCAACTCGTGAAATATAAGTAGATACATTGAGAATTTTCGATAGATCTCCGATTTTTGCACGTGCTGATTCTATGGTTGTTCCATGAGGAAGTGATAGAAACCAACCAGCCTGATCATTCATTTGACTGCCCGATGATCCAAAGTATTGAAAATAACGTTTATCGCGAGCAATACCTTTTATCATTAAATTTCTAAAACGTACCCGCATTTGAAGATCTATGTTATTAATTTTATCTATTCCATTATAACCACGTATGTGAACAAGTAACCAATTCTCTGGAGGATATAATTCAAATCCTCTATGACAACGTGTCATTTGCATCGGTTGATATTCAATACGATTTGGTGTTATAATTGCAAATGCCACTTGTTTTAATTGTGATGACTCATTAGAAGTTCCGTGATTTGTTTTTGAAGTTGCATCATGCAATGCATCTTTAATTCGATAACAATGATTCTGTTTTAGGTTACGCCAGATTGTACAAGATAAATCATATAAATTTTTATGTTGAATACCAACTATTGATTGAGAATCAGCATTGTATTTATCTTGAAATAAATAACCCAATGACCAAAGCATTTCCATACCATAAGAATCATAAGCAGAAGAATATGATGGCATACCTATAGGAGAAAAATTACTTGGATCTTTTTGCCAACGAAATAAAGCAAAATTTATATGAAATAAATCATCAGATGCTTTTCGAGTATAACCAGCAACTGGTAAATTACGTAAAAATTTCCATGCCGTATTAGCTGGGAAAAATCGTACAAGTAAATCACTGCATAATGGAAGTTGTTTCATCAACCGTTTGTGATCGCTAAAAATACAAATCAAATAGATACTTATGTTTTATTTTTGACACGTCTTTTGATGACTTTTTTATTTTTATTCTTATCGAATCCGAAAAATTCAGAGGAAATAGGAAATTTAAAAGCGCAAAAAAAGTACTTAAATATTCTTTCATAGAAACTGTGTTTATCTTTTCTCTTCTACATAAAGAACTAATCGGAATTTAAGAGTACTGTTTGGTTACAGTGCCGTAGTAGGCAACAAATTTATGGCTACATTAAAAGATCTAATTAAGTTCTTCATATACAAAAAAAAACCAAAAATTATTTTACCATTTTTTTGTTCCTTCTGTTTTTTCGATGATTGGTGATGATTTAAGCATGAAAATAATTTGAATTGAATTATCATTCGTAGAATGATTGATTAAAATCTGTGAATCTATGTCTTTGAATTGAATTGTTAGAAAATATGTTGCTGTTTCTAGTTTAATTGCTTTAGGATATTTTTGAACGTAAATATTAGCAAGAGTTCGTTCATCTGTATGCCCAATAAACGTATCGTATGAAAGCATGACTCCAAAACTATACACTACACGAATTTCATCAGGAATTTCCTTCAAAATTTGATTACGATCTTCAATATCATCAAGCGCTTTTGTTTGAATATTAAACCAAATTTGACGATGATCACTTGTCAAAATATCACGTAAATGAAAGCGTATAAAATATGCTAATTTACGATCATAACTACTTGTTTGCTCGATATCAGATTGTTCTAATCGAATTCTTTGATTCATTTTTGTTAATGTTAATTTAGCATTTATGTTATTATAAATCCTACGAGCTGCATTTGGATTTAATTTTAAATTCTTGAATTGACATGGAACTTGATCACCTTCCATGGACACACTACTATTAATAAAACAAAATAAAACTATCATCAATTTTTATATGTATCTTGAAATTTTGAATTATTCAAACAAGCTAAATAGATTTGCAATAACTCAATCATTCTAGCTGCCAGTTTTTGTCTCAATTTATCTTTGAAAGTGCTGTCTGTTTGAGAAAACGATCTCTCTATTAGATTTAAAATGATTTATACAGTTCGCGAATAGGAAGAAACAGAGTTTGTGGTAGAGATTTTCATGTTGACAACATGATCAAATCCAATTTCACAATTGTTGTCATCAGCTTGGTGTAGGTATGGAGTGAGTGTGCGTCTGAAAGATGCGTGCAAGCATTAGTGTGGATTTGCATATTGTTGTGGCTGCCACTGCGGGTTGCAGGTTGAAAGTGGCTCTTTCTTTCAACAACATCAACATTCATCCATTCACACCCTCAAGGTACCTGACTTTTGAAATAACAAGAAATTCTGAAAAGCAAATGATTTTTCACGAAACTACGAGCATGTTCGTAAAACAAACAAAAATATGAATTAAAATCACACTTGTTCGAAAAACAAAAACAAAGTTCAATACTATCTTATGATTTGGGTCTCCATTTAAAACATTGTCTAACGCATAAAACAGGTAGACAATGCTATGCTCTTCAAAATGAATGACTCAGTTTTTTTAATATCGTGGTGTGGAAGTTTTAATATTTGGAAAAATAATACTTGTCTTTGAAAATTGATAATTGTTAATATCTTGAATGTCTAATTTATTAGTTTGTCATGCTTCGCTCTAGAAAAACTGTGTATATGAAGTTTTGTAGAGCGGCGAACAACTATTCTACTTACAAAAAAGGTAAGTTCGATTGAATTGAAACTCACAAAGTTTATGAAGAAATACAAAATATTTATTTATTTTTGCCCATCTTTTAGATTGCATCACTTTATTTTCATCTTTAACTAGTGTGAGAATTTTAATAACAAACAAACCTGTAAAGCACTGTATCGAATAGACAGAAGAAAAAAACTAACTTCTAATGGCTGTTGTAAGACACACAAGGGTGCCTTTTTCTTTTTATAAAAAAGAAAAAAAAATTATAATTTTCTTTCTATCCTTTGCAGTTCTTTCATATTTGAATTGACGCGTAAAAATATGCAACATTGTCGAGTTTTGCAAGAGCAATGAAGACAGTTCCGCCTAGTCTACTGATATATAGTTACTGACTGATGACTCATCTGAACAATAATAAAATCTATGTTTTTTTAGCTAAGAGACTGTTAAAAAAGTTTTTTCATTTAACAAAATAAACACATTATGATGGTGATCGGTTTTCGGGAATGTTATAAACTTCACGATTCAACTCCATTGCAAACGAGATATTCGCAATAGATTCACTACAGTTTCATTGTTGACCCATATAATCATGAAATACATTTTATACACAGCTCGACCTGTCTATGTCGCAAGTCTTCGGCGTTCCGATGCTTTTGTACGTTGAAGCATGATGAAAACGCATCTAAATGCACCAAGCACTGTGTTTCACGAACCCATTTAGAGAAAATTCATAGTTTCGGAGCATATTTTTAGATTATACGCATACAAATGTATTTAACCTTTTATTATGAAACGCGTTGGGACACACTCATATCATTCTATGCCTTTGGTCACGTTTAATAGTGAAAAGAAGCTATGTCTCTTCTGCTAACGCTATTTAATTGACAGAGTCGATAAAACGCATTCCACCGAATGCTTCTGTCAATCTGTCGAACTTGCAGAAACGCATTTAGATTCATTGCTTTGCGGAACGCATTTGAACATATAGTTATATAGTTTAGGTATTGAGGATAAACACTTTAAAAACAAGTTTTTTATTCATATTTCTCTGTTTCTCAGCTCAATTTTCATATATTTTCGATGGATCGAATAGTTTAGACAATAATTTCAACGATAGGATATAGATGACAGTCAGATATTTATATTTTGTTTTCATTTTCATTGAATTCTTTTATCATCAATTGCTAATTCAGACGAGCTGATCGATGCCCTATATTCATGTTTTTCTCTTCAATCATTTTAAAGATAATCTTTGTCTCTTATTTTATTTGTTAATAATTGATTATTATTATTATTATTAATAGTGTATAAAAATATATGATACACAACTATATACGATATATCGTATAAGATTACTCACGTTTCGAATCTTAAACATTCCTCTTTCAAGTTAAAATGTTTTACTGTTATACAAGAACAGAACTGTGAATTTTCCTATTTTTATACATCCTTCTTTTTGTTCTTATTCTTCTTTGTGAAATTTAATCTAAGACCAGTATAGACAAGACGATGAAAATGGTACGTGAAAAAATTAGTTTTCTTCTCCTATACTAGTACTTAATTAAACATAACAAAGGGAGAATGTGCAAAAGAAGAAGATTCACACGTGTATTTGTGTTTAACAACAAAACATTTTAACTTTAAAAAAGAAGGTTGTACGTTCGAAACGTCAGTATTCTTATATAATTGTTTATCTTATATTTTCTATACCTTTAATAACAATCATTAATAATCAAATAATAAAGGAAAAGACAAAGATTATGCTTAAAACAATTGACACAACTTTCCTACAACATAATGAAAAACAAAGAAGAATAAACTAAATGAAATTAATATATCAATGTCCGCAAATATTTGAAGAATTGTTGAAGTTTATTTTCCATGATCCTTCTTAGTAGTATATTTGATAAGATTAACGACATAATTTGATTAATCATATTTATTGTCGTATGTAAAAATAAAGCTATTGTATTTCATACAGACATCAAGGAAATAAATAAAAGCATACCATAAAACAAATTTAATAAAATTATCATTGAGTGAAATACTGACTTAAGTATAAAAAAATTAATGAATGTATATCATCAACGAAATCTATTGAAACAACTCTGTCATCAGTACAAATCAAAATACTTTTTAATCGACCATTAGCAACTTATTTAATTCTAAAAACAAATTTCTTCATATTCAACTTAAATAATCATTTTGATTTAATAAACCAAATATGATTTTTAGTTTTACAAACTAAAATCGAATAATTTCCGCGAAATAATAACTATAAAGAATGATATTGATTTCGTAGAAACGGATATAGATAATCTGTTTATAATATATATTGATAATATAATGCAAAAAAAAAGTTATTCGCCTACAGACTAATATTCTTACGAATTTGTCAAAGTACATTGAACAAGATGTTCATCTGCTATCTCATAGACTATATGTGGTCTCAAAATATGATAGAAGTATTGTCAGTCAACCTGTTGAATTCTATATAGCAAGATTGACTCAAACGTTCTATCAAATGGTACAAATTTACCAGAAGGATATTTATCAAAACGGTATATGCATTCTTTTTTATATTTCTTGGTGACTGTAGGCAGAGCCGTTCACAGCATGAAACGATCGACTCCCTCTTTCTCGTGCGAAAAAGTTTCACTATCAATCTATAATCTTTGCTTGTGTACTTACATTTGTATGAAATACTTAATGAGAATTGCATGTTTATTCCAACACTTTGTTATAATTGATAGCAAATCCAGATATTTTCTTTTACTTTACGATTCAGATATAATAATATTAGCATAATATCTTATTTTAGCAAACATTTATCAAAAATAATCAATAAAAAACAAAAAGATATTAATAAAAAGTTTGATATCGAACAAGAGATTTAAGAATAATATAAATAAAAATATCTCATAACAATTAACAGCAGATAATTGCTATAATTTCAATGATAAAAACAAGCTTGCAAATCGATAATAACAATGAATTTCCAACCACTATTTCTTCATTGTCTGTTAATCAAAATTCTACTATCATTACTTGAATATTTGCCAGTTATTGGCGAAATTCTGAATTTTCAACAAATTGATGAATCGAAATCATACCAAGTTTATATCTAGTTTTGTTTTTATTTAATAGTTGTTTATTCCAGATTAAAACTCAACTATAATGAAAAGAAAGATTAAAATGAAAGCACATTACAAGTATGAGCACAAGTACAATTAATACACAAAACAAAACATAAATATGATTGAAAAAAAAGTTCATCACAAGAAAGATTTCAGAATGACTTCGTCTAAGCAACTAATAAATCAATAATAAAGATTAAAATAACATGAAAAAAACGATTAAGAAGCATACTAAAAATAAACAAATATTATTTATGTGATGTGTGACAAACAAAAATATGTTGATAAAAGATCAATCAGAGTCCACAGTGTGATACAGAATATGATATTGTTGTTATATAATATGAAATTTCAAGAACTTTGAGAAATTTTTTTCATCGGTATAAAACTTTGTTTAAATAATTTTTAATAATAAAATATTTTTGTAAAACTATAATTTTTTTTTATGTATAACCTTTTTGATATCTGTTTCTGTATGCTTCAACAAGAGCATTTCCTTTTGTAGTTCCTCCGACATTTCTTAGAATCTCTTCAGTTACTAAATCTGTCAACATTTGTGAACCTGATGAAGAATTTATGTCTAACATTTCACCCCGTCCACCTGTTTGTTGAGCAATCTGTTTAAAAACTGTTTCGGCTCGTTGTTCAACAAAAAAAGCATGTACTGGAATGCTATGTGCTTTTAGTTTATCTAACTCATCTTGATAATAGGTTGGTTTTGAAAATTTAGTTCCTTTCCAATATGTTTCTTTAAAGCCATTTCTTTTCTCTTTTACTTCGTCTTTTGTATTTGGAGGAGCATCACCTATCAAAATAACTTGTGTAATATTTTCTCTTTCATTTTCTTGATTTGCATGCCATAAACCAATTTCAATGGCTTCATTATTCCAACCTCCTTCAACTTCAATTGTATTCATAAAAGCACGTAAATTATCTGGTTTAGTTTCCCAAGGAGAACTTTGCAAAATTTTATCTTCTTTACTATTATAATTTCGATATACAACAAATTGAAGTTGAAATGAATCTGATTTAATATTCTGTTCTTTTAAAATTGCTGAAGCACGTTCAAACATAATGTCTACAGTATTCTTACACTTATGTAATAAATAGTACATTGAACCTGTTGCGTCCATGAGACAAACAGTTCGTGAAGTATAAGAACCTTCTACACCTTTATTCTCTTCAATTAAAAACGTTTTCACAGAATCTATTTTGCCAGAAATAAGATTTGATAAAAATTTTTTGGCAATTTTATGTTTTTCTCTTGCATGTTCAACATATTTTGTATTCATATCATACTGTGTTTTAAATAAATCAATACGTCTCTCATTAAGTAGATCATATATAGTATCATAATTTTTTGTAATTCTAAGTGCATCAGAAATACGAGTAAGAATTCCTTTACCCTTTTTAACATCTTCAATATCAACTTTTTCTATATGAAATTTTTCAAGATCACGATCAAGTAGAACCATACTATAAGATCCATGATCACCTTGTCTTGCTGTTCTACCTTTTATTTGTACTTCTTCTGATATTTCTTCTGAAAGAAATGTTTGAATAACATGTGTACCACCATTTGTAGCAACAATTTGATCATGACATATAAAATCTGTTCCTCTACCAAATGTTTTCGTAAATAATGTTATTTGACCTGATACTGTTGCTCGTTTAATTAGAATTTCTTTTTCTTCTAATGATGCTTCTTCTGTTAGATAAACAGTTGATTCTTTTAATGAACTTAATGCTGTTGAATCATAAAATTCTTTTAATTTTCGATTTGATTCAAAAAATACTAGAACAGCACGTTTTCCTGATGATTTTCCAACTAATCTATCTTCAATTTCTCGTTTTATGACATTAAAATAATCACTTTCATTATCAATCATAATATCATCTTTTATTGTAAATTTAAGATTATTTATACCAAATACAGATGGCATATATGTATTTTTTGTAATCTTATAAACGCTTTGTATTACTTTTCTTTCTGGATCACTTAAAGTTTTTAATGTACCTGTTACACCCATAATATATTGAAATTCAAGTGGTATTTCAGCATAAGAAAAACTACCACACTTAATTCTTACATATATATTTTCATCTAAACTTTTTTTACTAATTTGTCCTCTTTCATGTTCATAAAAATAAGCAAATAAAGTTTTATAACCATAAGCAATATTATAGACAATATTATCTTGTTCTACATATCCAATTTTATCTTGATTAACAATATAACCATGTGATTCAAAATTATTAACATCAAAAAGCATATCTTTCATGGCTTCTTCAAATAATAATTTCCAATTAGGATATTTCTTACAACATTCATTATATTCATTTGTAGTTTTTAATCTATTAAGATTTAATCTAGATTTTCTTTCTTTCCAAATCAAATGAACTAATGATGTTATAATAGGATCTCTTAAAGTAGCTGTTGGTGTATAAACATTACCATAAAAATCTCGACTAAAAAAAACATCAACTTCATCAATTAATAATATTTTAGCACATTTTATATTTTGATTATTTTTCATTCCTGTATTAGAATCTTTAGATATTATCTGTTCAACTACTTGGCGAATATCACCATTATCATTAATGATATCTTCACATAATCTATTAAATGTACCATAATGTATATAGTTTAATAAACCTAATGAATCAAATAATGGTACAAATGCTTGATAATCTCTTTGACTTAAATATTGACTATAACATGCACAACGTACATCAAAACCAAGTAGTGCAAGTATACAAGCCATAGATCCTAATGTAATAGATTTTCCTTCACCTGTTCCTATTTGTACTAAATTATTTTTTAATTCTTCATTCTTATCACCTATACCAAGCATACGAAATATAGCAATAACTTGTGCTGCATGAGGTTGAAGAAGATAATTATCTCGATTATCTGAACCTTCAGCTTCAAAATAATGTTCTGCATTTTTAAGTGTCCATAAAGCAAAAATATATGCTGCTAATTCTGGAACTTTCTTTCTTATTCCTGCATCCCAATCAATATTATCTGATTCCTGTTTTATATTTCCTGCAATTAGTTTAATATTTTCTATTAATTTATCTAATTTCATATTTGGTTTTAAATTTTGTTGAACTAATTCTTTATAGAATTTATTAAACTCATCATAACGTTTTTCTAATAATTTTCGATCAATAGAATCTCCTTCTAAATTATTTAGTACATATGTAATATCATGTCTTCGAGTTTTTTCATTAAATAAAGATAAAGAATAACCTTGAAATGATTTATGTTCTGAAATAATAGATTGACCTATACCAGTTTTGTCCTGATTTAAAAGTGTACCTAACTTTGTAAAAGCCATATTATCATTTGTTATATTTTTATAATAATTAAGTAATTCATCTATTCGTTCATTTATTTTAGTTTTAAATGAAGGCATATCCATTGAAATACGTTTCATATTTATTAACATTGTAGTAACATTTTGAACTGTTGAATCAAGTTCAGCTGAATGTACCCAAGTATTAATTTTGTCGAAAATAATTTTATCTATTCGAACTAGTTTTTCTTTTACTCCACATTCTATTGATGTCATTTCTTGTCTAAATGATATCAAATTAAGATAACATATATTAAACTCAATATAATCATTTCTTGTTAAATGATTATCAATTGAAAAACGATTTAAAATAGATTCAACATAAGAAATAATATCGGTAATTTTCTTTTCAAATGATAATAAACATTCTTTTTCAATATCATTTAAATCAATATTTAAATGAAAACTATTAAATATTTTAGCTTTCTTTAAAATTAAAAATTGTTCATTAAATTTCTTATAACGTTCATCTCGATGTTTTCCGATTTCATTTCTATCTTCATTAATTAATTTACTTTGAATCAATGTATTTTTTATTTCTTTAATTATTTTCGATATCGATTCTAACATAGTTGAATAAGGTATCAAAATTCTTACACATGTAATAATCGTAGTCACTAAAGTTTCATTACTATATAACATATCATCATAATTTTTTATTTTTGTTAATGTAGAATTCCATTTATTCATAATATCTAAAACATCTTTAAGAGATGTAAAATCTGATTCTTTCTTAGCTTTCTCATATTTTTGTTGACAGTTATTAAAAAAATTTATTATGGTTTCACAAAAAAGTACAAGTCTTTCATTGAAATCTTCTGGAAACATATGCTGTAAAATAGATTGATTTTTAAATCTATCTCGAAATTTCATAAATTCCATCAAACAAGAAACATTTCTTTCTATTACGCCAGTCATCTCATCAACTAATGAATGTCCTTTATCATTAAAAAAATATTTCATACAAGAATGATATACATCTTGAAAGATGTCTGTTACTTTTGATCGTACTTCTAAACATGATTGATCAATATTGACAACATTTTCTAATTCAACTTTATAAGCATAGAGTGTTTCAATATTATCTAATGCTTCTCGTATTTTATATTCTTTAAAATTTTCATTTATTTTCATAATTATATCTTGTGTTTGTTTAAGAACATATTTTCGACCTTCATTTGCATAATACTGCATACCTTCAGACTGTTGATAACCTTGAATAACTGCTTTAATACGTTTAAGATCTTTACTATCACATGCATCCTTTAAATCTCTATCGTTATTTTCAATATTTTTTTTAATTTCATCTTTACAATGTTTTAAATCGACTTCAAGAGATTCTTGCATATCTTTTGGTAAATATCGAACTCCTGATTCAAACTTTCTTATATGAATATTATCGGGATTTGGTGGTTGTTGTTTTTTAGCTTCATCTAATTCTTTACGAAATTTTGTTAAAATATCTCTTCTTATAGCTTCTAATGCTTGATCATATCTAGGATTTATATTGCTAACTCTTCCAAGTTTATCAAATATGTCTCTTGGTGGATTCAAAGTATATTCACTCATATCCATTTCTGTATATTTTTTTATTACAACATTAGATACGACTTCATCTTGATTCTTATTTAATTCTTCAAGCTGTTCAAAAATATATTGTGTACGAAATGTACCTAATAAATTACTAATTAATGTAATGGAATTTATTTTTTCATCTGCTTCATAGAAATTATTAATTTTAATAAGAGCATTAACACTTACTAAAAAGAGTTTTATACGTCCTTCGATTAATTTTTTAACTTCTTCTATACAAATATCGATTTCATCGGGCTTATCAAGATATTGTGATATAAATTTTTTTGCATTTTGCATTCGTCTCAAATTTTCTACTATCAATTTAATTGCTTGAACTTCAATAGTATTTCCAAGCATAATTGCTTGAGTTTTTGTTTCTTCCATTAAATTATATATACTAATATTAAGTACTCGTTTAGCTTGTACAAATAAATGTTGTCCTACTTCATTTGCTGTTTGTAATGTTATCATATCATTACCGACATGTTCATATTTAAAATTATTAATATCTTCTATAACTTGTCTACCACGATCACTAGTTGTATTAAGAAATAGATGCTGATATGTTGAATAAATATCGTTAAATTTTTTGCCTTTCAAAAATCGATCTAATTTACTTAATGCTTTTGCAATTAATAATTTATTATTGACAGCTTCAGTATTTTCTCCAGCATTCAGACATGTCATTTCACTTGATAGATCAGTTAGATAACCTTCTAACCCACGTTCCCATTCTTCAATAATTTTTTGATTTTGAAAACAAGAAAAAACTTGAGAATATTTATCTTTTATTTCAGAAACTTCTTCTAAACGACTTAATAATTTTAAAGATTTATCAAATATTTCTTGTCTATTTTCATTTTTACATTCTTTAATAGCTGTAAAACATTGTTTCATTTCATTTTGAACAATATTACTAAATTCTCTTATAAATCCTTTTAATTTATTAATAACAAGTGTAGAATCATTTCTGAACGAAATATGTATTCTTTTACAAACATTTAAATAATGAAAACCTTTTTCAGCTATACTGAAATCTAAGATTGAATCTTTTTGTGTTTTCCACTTTTCTAAATCAAATGTATCGTTAATAATAGTAAATACATTATCTATTTCACTTTTATATCGAGAATTAATTTTTTCTATATGTGGACCTATATTTGGAACAATTTCTTCAACAGCTTTCATATCATTAATTTCTAATACAATATTATCTATACGCTCGATTTTATCATAATTATCAAGATCTAAATCTGTTTGCATAACATTTTTTTCTAATTCTTTTATATGTTTAAGAATTTGTTCCTTAGTATTATTGATTACATCGGCATAGACTTCAAGTCGATATTTTTCTATCCATTTTGCATGTTTCAAACTTGACAAACATCGCATGAGACTATTATAATTATTCTTTTCATTACGATAGAATCCATTTAATATATCTTCAATTTCTCTTCTTAATTCTCTTATACAACCACATATTTGTTCTAATGTACTATAATAAGTACGATTAGTTTTTGATTCAATAATAGATATTGTTCTAATTAATGTAATCTCTGCAAATAATTGTTCTAATTCACGAAATGAACATTCACCTTTAAGTTCTGTAATGATTTTTTCATCAATTTGTTCATAATGATTCATAATTTTTAATAAAAAATCTTCATAAATTTGATTAATATCTTCTTTTGAAATATGTGATTGCAAAGTAAATGTATTACTAGCTGTTTCAAACATACGTACACATTCTTTGATACTTTCAATAGTCTCATTTCCATATTTTTCTTGAGAAAGTATATAATTTAATTTTGAAACTGAATCTTTTAATACTTGTAGAAAATATTTTTTTAATTCTCTATATTTTGTTTTCATAGATTCGCTATTTAAATGATTTTCTAAAACACTACATGCATCATATAGTTTCGTTAAATCATTGGCAATATTAGTAAAATTTTTCTCGAGTACTGAATTTTTGTAAGATTTGACTACTAATTCGTACTTGTCAGAAAAAGTTTGACAAGCATCTTTATATTTATTATTGATATCTGAAAAACACATAGCAAGAACTTTTATTTTATCTAAACTCGTTTTTGCTGATAAATCATTAATATCTTTTTCTTGTAAAGATTTAAGTATGATATCTACTTGTTGATCTAGATATAAAATAAATGCACTACTATGAACAACTTCCTTTCCTAAATAATCATTTCTTAATTCATCTGCAAGTTTAGCATGATTAATATATGTTCGATATTGTTCAATATCGTCAATACTTAAAATTGTTTGATTAATTAAACAACGATTTAATATTGAAATACCATTTTGATATTCTTCGGAAAGATGTTTACTTATATATCGAATACATTCATCATATATTTGTTCAATATAATCTTGTTCAAGTAAATTATTTAATCGTTTCAATTGAGCAAGTTTATATTGTACAAATAAATATTCAGAACGTTTAGTTGCTGACATAATACTTAATTGATGTTTTCTTACTTGCTCTTGTACAGTAGTTTTTGATTTTTCTGTAATAAAAAATTGAAAAACTTCATCAGGATAAGATATAGCAGCAGATTCTGCAAGTTCATCAAGAATTTCACCAGCTCGATCTTTGATTGGATCTAATACTCGTACTGATTTTCTTGTTTTCTGTAACATATCTTTTAAAAAACTCATGAAACTAGCATTCGATTTTTCTTCTTCATTCAATTCATCATTGATATCTCTTAATAATGCATGAATTGTTTGTTTTTCACTATCTGGAAATTTTGTAAATATATAGGAGAATGCTCTAATATTATCTTTAATTCCTGGAATCAATCCGACTACTACATGAGCTAACTCTTTTACACCACGACATCTATCACCAATACTCTTATAACTAATTAATACGACAGGTTTTACACTTTTACATCCTTTTACTGCTCTAACAACACCGATACCATTTGCTATATCAACTTCTGGTCCATTAGTATCTTCAAATCCTGGTGTATCACATAGAATGATATCACCATCAGTAAATCCGCCAACATGTTTGAAATTTACTGTAACTGTAGTTATATATCGAGTTTCAGATCGAGCAAATGGTGAAGTTGTTACTTTTTTTAAATCAGGATTTCTTATATTAATAGGAGTAATATGATTTAATCCGTTCACTATTACAGGTTGCATTTGAGAACCCGCAAGAAAATGTATCGTAGTTGATTTACCTGATCCAGTTTCTCCCAAGAAAAGAATAATATTTTTATCTTTTATTAAATGTGCTGCATCATCAACTTTCTCAATGAGCCTAAACAATTCTTGCATATTTAATGGACTAAGCTGTTTAAATAATTTTCGTATTATTGTCAAAGCAGCTTGCCAATTTTCATCTTTGACATTGATTGAACATGTTTCTACTAAATTTTGAATTCCTATAGACTGTAATTCTTCTATTTTTAATCGTTCTTTCAAATATTTAAGTTGCTGTGCTATTTCTGTATCTATCTGACTAGGTATTACCATACTATCATCAGATTCTGTCATACGACCCATTGATTTAAACGATAATAAATATAGTAAGTTGATAATGGATCTTTCTGAACAAGGTGGCATCGAGTGAAAGTCATTATACATGTTTCTTAGACTCTCTTTTGTTACTGAACGATCGATTTCATCACTATTTTGGGAACTGCTTGAATGGGATTCAAAACTTCTGGTTTCATTAGTAGAGTTTATCAAGGTTCTTGGTTCTCTAGAAAATTCTCTTTCTTCTCGATTATTGCTATTTCTATCCTGTTTGTGATACTGTGGACTCGATTGGTGTGTTTGAGAAGCTTTCAGTGATACTTTAGGTGCGTCCTGAATTTCTGATGGTTCGAATTCACTGTTCGATATTTGTTTTAATAAGCGGTGTTTTGCCATATGACTTTGAGACATAGTTGATGTTGAAAAACTTCGATCTTCTTCGATCAAAGAACTACTTGCACTATGGTGGTCGAATGTTCGCTCATGTGAATGACTCATACCTGTATCTTGTTCATTTGTGAGTTGAAGTTCTTCGGTCGCTTTTAATAAATATTCAATAGTTAAATTTGCACTTTGTCTTGGATCACGATGTTTTTCAACAAAACTCCACCGTAAAGAAACATCTGGATAAATTTCAGCGAATTGATTTTGTAATTTTTCAGGATAAAATTTAGAATATTCGACTGGATCCATAAATTGGGCCAATTCAATATTTTTGTCTGTATTAAATTTTAACAAAATTCCAGTCCAATGAAAACTTTCGACATTGTAAGGAATCAGTATAACACGTTGTCCATTGCCTTTGTTTCGTGCTTGTAGCAACCGTTCTTTCCATTCATCTGGCACATTATCATGAACGGCTTTCATTGCATAAATTGATTTTGAAAAACGTTCAGGAAGCTTCTGTTTAAACTCTTCTAATCGAGCTGATAAAACAGTGTCAATATCGATGTTCTGATTCCGTGAACTTTCAAATGATGTTGAGTAGTCCATTGTTTAAGAAGTCTGCTTCTTCTTGTAAACGACTTGTCTTTTTCTGTTGAATGACTTCAATACACGAAGTATTCAGAAATAATACACGTTTCAGTAATATCTAAAATCGACTAATATATTGTTTATTATTCTAAAAGTGGACAAGTCTTTTTTTCATCTAGTGTTTTCAAAATTCATACAAAAGGTAAACAATGATATGAGATAGACAAAAATAGAACTGTGTCTCTACATCATGGACTAATTGTTCAATACTGATCTATTTTCAATCAGTACTGGTACTGATAAACTATGCATCAGTATGAATCCCGTACTGGATTAGTTTTTTCTTTCAAAAAAACCATTTCATGAGGAGCCAAAAATATGGGATTAGTAATATTCATAGTCAAAAGTTTGTGTGAAACACGATCTGAAAGGAGTGTTGAAGTGTTTAGGGGTAGAAATTTGCACCCATTCCCTCCCCCCCCCCTCCACAGAGACCGTGACAGAGAAAATCCATACCCATCACAGACGGTGACAGAGAATCAAGGTACCCGTCACAGACCGTGACAGAGAATCCAGCTACCCGTCACAAACGGTGACAGAGAATCAAGGTACCCGTCACAGACCGTGACAGAGAATCAAGATACCCGTCACAGACCCTGACAGAGAATCAAGGTACCCGTCACAAGCCGTGACACAGAAACTGTAGTTATAAAGCATCATATAAACGGTTAGCTACAAATGTAGCGCAACATAGTTGAACGATAGGATTTCCATTCAATAAGTAATAGTAGAGCCGTCGTGTTTCACATTTTTAATCCCGGAAGGGATTGCGCTAACACCTTTCTTAGTCAGTATAACGGGCCTGATACCGTCAAAAACTTTTTTCACCGTGCTAATTTTAGTTTTCATTTTCTCCATTTCTACAGGCATCTTTTAACTTCAGAGGGTACCTCAGTGTCCTGATTTTCAATTAGTTATAAAATGGACATGTTTGTATAACAAATCATAGAAAATCCATACTCCATTATTTTGATTTTGTTTTCGATGGTCTGGTTGTGAGTGTGGGTGTTGATGTACATGGGGAGATAGATGATGAGAAAGTTCCATAGTGAAACTTCCTTTCACGCCTTTCCACATCCAGCCAGACTTACACTCACTCAAAGTCAGATTCACACACATATCTGCATCTAGTGAAAGAGAGAATTATTTTTAGAATGACGTAAGTTAAGTACTAAGGTTTTAGGAGTACAATCTGCAAGTATAAAGACGAATACAGCGAGAAATAAAATGTTAGTCTTGACTTTTTGAACACCAGATAACATTTTTAAAATATATTTAATATAGGAATATGATGAAAATCTGAGATTTTCACCATTCGAAGAAAGATAATGACAGATGGGAAAATGGCAGAAACATATGATCACACATTATAAATGGTACCCATTAAATATTCTCTATTGAGTTTGAAAAAGTTATTAAAAAATCTATTTTTCTCCTTGAGTAAAATCCATGTAATGGAACTATGTAATAAGGAAAGAAAAAAAATGAGGTATAGCTTACTTGCACAAGAATAACTGTAATCGAGAATGAAGGTAATATTGCCTTTTTTTATTCCTATTTATGTGACTTACCTAGTTTGCAATAGAATGCGTAGTATTATTTGGAAGAAAATGATGTTAGTGACATAAAACCCATAAAAATATTTAACAAAGGAAAGAAAAATGGGTACCTTTTATCAGCAGTATTAACCTTTGGAACATAAAGTAAGCCAATATGTGTTTTCTCCCAGTCATATGATTCATGCTTCAGAACAAATCACATATTAAGAAGGAGAGAGAAGAAAAAAATACAGTGAAGATCAAACATAATAATATCGTCTTCACGTTCGATTCACTATTTGCTTCACGTAAACATTGTTTGGAGGAAGGGAAAATTTTTCGTTTTTAAAAGCTTTCTTATACTCCACTTGGCACGTTTTACTCCAATAATGTCCAAAGTTTATAGTGTGACTGTCAATGAAGAAAAGACACATATACCATTGACATTTATCGACGAAAGAACAGTTAAGTTTTTCATTATCCTAGGTTTCGATTAATTTAGGACTACGAATGAAACATAAGAGCTGTATAGCTCTCTTTTTGTTATTTAGCATTGTTTTTTATCTGAAGTAAACATTTGTTTTATTATATTGCGAAAAATGAAGCCTTCAACATTTCATCGCATCGAGAACAAAAATTGCTCTTTTTCACATTTTTTTTTCGTTCTCTGTTAGGGAGCCATGGTTTGCTTTTTCAAGAACATCGTTGACGAGTTTCCAAATATGGATATTATTCAAGGTCCATTCAAAAAAAAATGGAGCATTGTTTAGACTCGATGAGTATACGCTAAAAATAGAGCAGAAAAGATTACGATGATATTAATAAACTAGTTCTAAGTGCAAGAGACCATCTAAAAAAATCAGAAACACTAAGTACTGAGATTCTTACCGATACTATTGTTTAACAAAAAATTTATTTGACAGAATAGACGAGGATTTGAGTATGGGTATCTGAAGGTGCGCATTAGAGAGCTGTTGAGGCAAACACTTGACAATTCGACTATGGCTTCAAACAGTTTTGCAATTTTTGCCACATAGTTTTGTGAAAGCTTACATGTGCTGAGATATTATAGTATTAACAAGTGGTGTATTATCTTGAATCAAGTATGATTTAAACTGATTCGGATGTTATATTACAAGTTGTAAAACCAGTTTTTTTACTTTTTCTACATTTAACTAACGAAAGAACCGCCTGAAGTGATTCGCCGCTTTTGAGCTCATATCTTGCACATATAGAGGGGACCTCTAGACTAGAATAATCCTAAAAGGGTTCGGGCCCATAGGCTTCCTCTACAGAGTTATAGCAATTTTACTTGTATTTTAGCCCATGGCACGATATGTACAAACAAATTGGCTGATGGTATTTCGACCTGAAATTTTGTCCACAGATAGGTCTACTTGTAACTAGAATGTCCTGAAAATTTCAGCTGAAAAGAATATTTCCTTCGCAAGATATTGAATGTCAATAAAACATGAGATTCTCGCATCGTGTATGGGATCTGTGTGGTTTTCGAAAATCCAATATTTCTCGAAGAAAATATTCTTTTCAGCTGAAATTTTCAGGGCATTCTAGTACATTCACACACCCTAAAGTGATGTGTTGGCAAAGTGAACGCGACTTGTTTATACGTGATATAGTTTTACTCGAAATAAGAGATTATGAACTTAACAATAGATGGTTGTTCCTAGGGTATAACTCAGTTATTTAGTTTCAAATGCATTCTTGCATACAACAAGGAAGATAGAGTCTTATACGATCCTTATTGTTTCTTCTACTGAACCATGAAAATGAATGAGTTCAATATAGTATTTGAAATCTACTACACCCCTATTTCTTGTTTACATTTTACAATAAATACAGTTTATGAATATGGTACGCCGTTATGCTTTGCGTTCTTGAGATGATGAATTGAATCCAATTAAGAAAGAAACAGATTGTCTGGTTCTCAAACAACGAGTCATTCAATATCTCAACTTCCAATCATTAATCAATTACAACCTCATCAACCATTTGTGATCTCTCAATTAAATAAATCATCGTTTGTCGTCAAACTGAATTTCAATCATCATTTGATGATGAAGAATATTTCGACTAGTGTATGGATCATCAAATGTCATGTATGAAAGATCGCTACTTTTTGCTTATTTATTTTATATCTTTGAAATGCGAATATCTAGTTTTCGTTCTATATTACTTAGTTTCGTCGATGATTTTCTTCCGCAGTAAAATTGATTCAATTTAACATTTTCCAAAAAAAAGTTATTTTTTTTCTTGCAAGAAACATAAGGCGTCTATAAGAAAAATGAAAACAAAGTTTCTGTTAGAAATGTAGAAATATAAAGGTCACCGTTTTCTAACGATTGATCATCACGGGAAAAGAACTACTGTGTTTTAAAGGCTTTAAGCTTTGAGTATTTTGTATTAGTATAATGAATCTAAAGAAGTCATATGAGTTACACATGTCAGCTCCAAAAGAACTGCGCTAACAATCTTTTCATTTAAAACAGATAGCTGATGGTGCAACAGATTTTGAAAGAACTCTTTATTATGCTGATACAAATATTAATCAACCATATTATTTAGGAAAAAACATTTTTATTATCAATGACAAGTCTCTTATTACAAAAAAAAACATGTAAAATATCTTTGTACGTATATCTCGTTCAACTTAATTTTTTCTTTTTTTTTTTTTATTCTTTCGACAAAGTATGATAATCAATTGCCCAAGCGAGCTAGGAGCTCATATATAGGAGAGAATATATAGTAAAGTGGTGGAATGATTGCTAAAAAATGTGGATAAAATAAACGAGTTTGTCCATAAACACCAGCAGCTATAATTGCTTGAGCAGTTTTACGTACATCAGCCGCTAAAAAATGAAGAGTTTTGTCAGTTGCATGAAGTGCAGATTCGGTAGCAATTAATCCAAGAATAGCTACAGTTGTTGTAACACGATTTTGATATGGTTTAGAGGTACGAAGTTCACGAGCAAGATTCAAAAAGAAACCTTGAATAGCATGTTTGGTTGTACCTGATTTAAATAAATTTCTTTTTTCATGAGTCTTAACATTAATATAATAATAACTTACCATAAATAGTTGTTTGAGGAAATGGACAAGTACCAGTTAATGATGATACTGCAATGATTTGAGATGGTTGTTCATATGTTCCATTTTGAGCTAAATAAGGAAGAGCTGCCATCGCTTTAAAAAATAAAAAATTTGAAAATAAACAAATTCTTTTTTTTTGTTGTTTTCTTACTCGTTTGAAAATATCCAAAAAAATTTACATCAAATACTTTTTTCATATTTTCAATATTTGTTTTAATATCACTTTTAAAAAATGGTTCATAAACTGCTGTAGTATGATTAAGTACAAGAATATCAATACCTTGATAATATTGAATTGTTTTTTGAATAAGTTCAATACATGCTTGTTCTGTTGATGCATCAAATTGAATACATTCAACTTGTGTTGCACCTAATGAAAGACATTTTTGAGCAACTTGATTTTTTAATACATCAATACTACGTGCAGCCAATATAAGACGACAATTATAACGTGCATATTCATAGGCTAATTCTTCACCTATGCCACGTGATGCTCCAGTTATTATGACACGTTTATTTGTTAATTGTTTTTGTTCAATCGGTGGAAAATAGAAATAAATTTTATAAATAAAATAACCAAGTGCGTATATGATAACAAAGAGTACTAACAATACGAGTACACTACTCATGATGTAATAATATGTTTGCTTGTTGGTTCGAAAACTTTATTGGCAAATGTCATAACGTCGCCATTTACACTTACATGTTGTCTTTTTCTTTTTCGTTCTTGCCTTTTTTTTCTATAAGAATGTTTAGATTGTTACCTGAATAACAAAGAAAGCACATAAAGAAAAAAAAAGGTTTTTTCTTTATATCTTTGTAACTACTCTCAGAGATAAAATATACCATTAAATAGAGATCTCCACGTGTACTCTATTTTTAACTATACACTAGCGACGATTGAAATATCAATTGAATGCAGTGATGTAGGCTAGATTGATTATGCTGTACGATAATTGATAATGAAAGATTAGAAAATCTGCTTTCTTTTTGAAGGAAATAGAATCCTTGTTGAGGTTGTTTTTTGTTCAAATTTGCACATTCAGAGAGACAAAGTAAAACTCAGAGGCAGCGACACCTATTCCTAAGAGTCGTACACACAGAATATGACACAACAATTTACGAACTTCAGAATAGCTAATACTATCTTCAGCAAAGTGCCGCCTTATCAAAATACTATTCTAGCTGAGCTATTCAAAAGTTGATCGAAATACAAGAATGATTGCTTAAGGTTGTCGTTTACAATTTTTCTTAAAGATAGGCACGATATCATGTGCTGTGCCTATAAATATTTCTTTCATAGATAAACTAAAATAACTTTATAGAATCCAGTTTTCAGTGTAAAAGTATTGTAAATGATTTCATTCTGAATAGTTTACATCCGAGGTAAAAAAAGTTGATCTTACGGGTAAGATTCCTCGAAAGAGTATAATAAGTAATGGTGAATTTATTGAGCATTTATCAGAAGAGAGAATCAATTTCATTGTCTTTTTATTATATGGAATTTCGAAATAAAATTTTTCATGATTAGAAGTTTGATGAAACAGAGAACATTGTATGATATTGCAAGCCAGATAAAAATTTATTTTATATGAATTTGATCAGGAAACATCATAGGTTTTTCTCATATAATAAATGAAAAATGATTTTAACGAAAAACATGTAAAATAAAATTTACTTTAAACTTTGAAAGATGACACGAATTAATTTACGTAAATGATAAGATAGGAAATTTTGTTTTCATAAATATATTCAAGAATGATTATTATAGAAAGAAAAATTATTTTTAAATTTGATTGAAAAACTGAATGTGCATTGTTGGTTTTTCCATTTATTTCTAATAGACAGAAGAAGATAAAATTCTTTTTTTTTCTAATATGTAAAATTCTTTTGTAGAAATCTAAATTGTCCGATAAGTTCGACCTTTCTATAGTAAATGTATAAATATGTGAGGGTGTGGGTGTGTTCATTTTTCTTTTTCTTGTATTTTTATCAAAAAAGTCTGTAAATATTTCATAAATAAATCAGTACTCCATAATTTTTATTTTGACATTATCAAATCAATTGTCCTGTTCTACGTTAAAGCGATCACAATGAAAATGATAGACTAAAATAAATAGATGTTATCTTTCTTATAAACTTTTAACAAATTTAGAAAACGACATAGGTGAAAGATTTATTATTTGTTGATTGACAGTTCATTTATTTATCTTCTTCTATCTAAAATACAAATGTTCGCTTATCTATATTTGAAGTGCAAATAATATCATGAATTTAACAATCAAATCGATTAGTTTTTTGTGATAAATTAGAATTTAATGAATGTGAAGAGAATGAATATCGTTGTATGAATGATATGTGTATTGCAGAAGAATATTGGCTTGATGATGAGTAACAAATCTATTGTATTTAGGTTGATTTCTTCACTGAATAGGATCGAACTCAAAAACAGATTCAATCTTTAGAAACATTGATCGAGAAAAAGAAATCTTTTGATCGACATAAAAAGACAACAAAAATGAGTATGCAAAGAAAAAATTGCTTTCATTCAATTCATATAACTAATGTTCTTATTTAATTTTTGAAAATATATGTAAATCAATTGTTTTATTCCAATCTGTTCTAATCGAATATTTACTTAGATTATATTTATGTGTTGCCAGAAAAATATTTCTTTTTTTTGTTTAGGAAAAATTGACTATATATGGATGAGAGATTGATTTCGATGCATCAATTTTGTCTTCGTGCACCACGCAGTTGTGATTGTGATGATGAGTTTTTTATAAAATACATTTGGTCATATGGTGATGGTCAATGTATTACTCCTTGAAATCGTTTCGATTATCAGACAGTTTTACCAACAGATATGTATTGTCAAAGTCGACATGATATAAATCATATGTGTGAAGCAAGTTCACGATGGCGTCTATGAACATTATCAAAAATTGGTTTATGTTCGAATAAATTTGGTTATAATGATTCAATTTTAAGTATGAAACAAACAAATTTTTCTATTGTGGATCAATGTATCTATTTAATTTGATGTGCACTATCAGATGAATTCGAACATGATTGTATTTGTGATCGTAAAAATTGCTCTCAAATAATCAACGAACGATGTAAATCAAATAGAATGTATTCATATCCAAATGGAAGTTTATTTCGTCCCTATATGTATTTATTTTATTATTCCAATCGAACTTGGTTCGATCGTGTTCCACATAACTTCCTTTTTTTGTGGTGTTATTAAATGTCGAGGATATCATGGTTCCATTAATGAATCTGATCACATAGAATCTGATTTCGCTTCCGGATATCTTCAAAATTCTTATCTAATTCTTGATCATATGTTTTGTGAGAGAACCATTACACGAAACACATCTAAAGCGCATACTGATCAATTTTGTTGGAACAATTCACATACATTTAATAATCATTCATATGCAGTTGATCCATTCATGTTTTTGAAACCATTTGAATGTATATCTCAATATCGATTTTGTGATGGTAATTTTGATTGTATAGATGGTGGAGACGAGACTCTATCGAATAACAGTCGAAATTCATGTATGAAATTGCAAAAACATCGATTACATTGATCAGCTGAAGAGGAATCATGTTTAGCTGTAAATATAATTAGTTATGGTGCATCATCATGTTTGAATAAATTCAATTATTTTACCTATGAATTTGGTCGACCATTAATCTAAATCAATTGTCTAAATCGAAATGATGATGGTCGTTGATTTATGCGAGATTATATCGGTAATTTATCTCTATTGATTATACCAATTCAAGAAAATTGAATACGCTCGATTGCTCGAATACCATTTCTATCCTATTGTGATAGTTTTTGGACATTGAAATCACGTCTCAATGAACATTCAGCATATTGTTAGCAATGAATTTTTCGTTCGGATCAATATTAATGTCAAACTGAACAATGCATCGACTTGAATAGGGTATGTGATGGTGAATGGGATTGTTTAGATGCATCATATGAAGAGGCCTTAATTGTAATTAGAAATTGGTCTCATCATAATCATTAACTGAATGAATTACTATTGAGACGAATGGAAAAATGTTGAGAACAATATAGAAATCAAACATTTGCTGATATTTTTAATATTTCTTATGAATTTCCATGTTTTCAAGCTAATATCACACAACCATTGGATATCATTCAAAATCGTTCATGTATTTCATTGACTTCTATAGATAATGGACATGAAGATTGCTATGGTGGACAAGATGAAAAAAATACATAGAAATGCATCATGTTCGAATTTATATAATGTTATTTGTTTGGATGGTTCATGTGGAGAAAATGCTCGTTGTAATGGAATTTTAGAATGAATTCATGGTGAAGATGAATATCAATGTTCATCTCGTTTATGTGAACCTGAATCATTTATCTATCGAGAAAGAAAAGAAATTTTTTTTTTCTTTATCACAAAAATTAAATTGGAATACGCTGCTTTTATCTAATTCACGAGAATCGTATTTTGAAGAATCATCACGTATGCTCACAACAAAGCACTACAAATATTCTTACATATGTAATCGTGGTGTTGATAACTCATTTGAATTTGATGACTTTGACTGAACAAATCTGGTATCCCTATTTCAAAGTGATTGCTACTTTTCGTTTTTTTTTTGATCAAATCATTGATTATAATCAATTTGTAATCAATTCAACATCTGAATATCAATCTTATACGAAACATCGACTCTTTTTTGTGTATTCTCGATCGGAAAAAATGATTAAATACAAAAAAAAAGAGCGTTATTTCAATCGAACAGATATCATCTTAAATCATTCATATTCTGTTCAATTTGAATTATTCGGATTAACAATGAATGAAACCTATGAATTCAATGACATCTGGTTCTATCCAATTTATTTTGATTACTTACTATCATTTCGACTAGCAACTATATTAAAGTTTTCTGAGTCGTATGGAAATATCACATTTGATCCATGCCGTCCCACAAAATGTAATTCAAATTCAACCTGTCGTTTCGTTTTCAATCAAAATAGAACATATTGTACTTGTAAAAGTGGTTTTTACAGTCAGCATTGTCAATTCTATGAACCACAATGTTCATTATATTGTTCACCAGATACACTTTGTAAAATAGGCAATCGTGGAATATTGACCAATGTCAATCATTCCCTATGTATTGGCCCACTTGATCGTTTCGAACCTCACTGTTATTTACATCATGGCGAATGCTATTCGAATTCTTGTTTGAATAATGGTACTTGTCATCTCATTTATGATCCGAATGATCAACGACTCTCTATCTGCCAAGGTAAAAAAGATTTTCATGGTGACAAATATCAATATGAGAAAGAATCTATTCGAATTCATATCAATAGGACTGATTTATCTCTTGTATCTGTTGTTCAATTTTGTGATATTAATATTACTACATTCGAATTACTTGTTCAATATCAACAAGTGTTTCATGAATTTCCTCAAATGATTTACTATAACCATGATCTAGAAGAAACACTTCGTCTAGCAATTCTCAAGACATACAACGACGTGAACGATCTAAACTATTTCATTTTATATATGCTTCATAGTTTGAATATTAAAATGTTTAATATTACATCAATACCAGAACAATATCCACAAGTGTGAACATTAATAAAAACACCATTTAAAAAAAGATCGAAGGATTTGATTCGTCATTAATTCTAGATTCGTTATAGAGAACTGGATATGTTATCGATTGGAAAAAAAGATAATATCGTTTCATGGTTTCGACTCTATAGGAACATGCCTTAGAAAATTAATTAGTTTAGGAGAATGATGCCATTTAAAATTCTTTTCTAGCTACAGACGAGTCACATCTTGGGAACGAATCAAAACTTGTAAAATATTCAAAGTATCCAGTTCGAATAAGATACTTTTTGTGCATTTAGAGAAGAGAGGACAATAGTATTTTTTTCAGTGTTTGTATTCCTTCTTCGTTTCTCAGCACATAGAATGATACGTCTATTCGTTCTGCTTAAATCATTGGCATATTCAAGAGACTCAAATTCTAGTTGTGATCATTATTTAGGTGACACTACAATATAGGCTATCTTCAAGTATCATTCAATTTGTCGTCTTCATGATAAACGGTATGTTTGTTTCTATGATTTGGACTATTTCTTTTTGTTTCAGCCAGATCATTATCGGGCTGATTGTTCCGGACATGATCCATCAATTGATCGATGTAATTATTGCCTATCGGGAGGTCGATGTGTACGAGATGATCTTCAAGATACAAAAGATTTAGTTATATTTGTCCAAAATGTTATCAAAGTCATCGATGTGAATTTAATTTACAAGCATTTGGTTTTAGTATTAATGCATTATTCATATCAGAACCTTTTACTATACAAATTATTTATGTTTCAATCGTGATAATATTTTTTATAAATCGGCTTATTCAATAATATTTGTTCATTTGTTACTTTCAAATGACCACGAGCACGTAAATACAGTGTTGATAATTATTTTTTCATTGTTACACTACTCAATCAATCTACTCTTCTATATCTTCTCTTCAAATTCTTGTATGTTCTTTTGGAATCTTCAGGTTATTTCATGAATGGATCCATGTACACGATCAATCTAATTAGATGTAAAAGTCTCATTTATTTTCTATCAATATTTACACGAGGTACTTATTGGTTAATAAGTTGAATTATGATTGATCGAGTTCTCATCATCATTTTTCCGAAAATGTCAATCTTGAAAAACTCGTCGATCGCTATCAGTATGAGTATCGCTACGATAGTTGTTCTTCCTAGTGTACATATTCATGAAATTTTCCACTATACCATCGTCCAGCAATCATCTTCGACTTTATGTGTTTCAAATTTTGATAGTCTTCTTGTCTCGAATTACAATCGAATAAAAACATTTCTTCATTATCTTGATCCTTTTTTAATCCAAACTATATGCATCACTCTACTAATTGGACTTATGGCTCGTAGTTGAGCTAGAACAATAGATAAAAAATCAATTCGAAACAAGTTCTTCAGAAACAACTTGCTACTCTAAAGGAACTTTACATTACGTCGATGATTATTTGAATGAGTGCTCCACCTCAAATTATCTTCTGTTTAACGCTTGCTTGTACAAAATTGAATATATGGCAACGATGCATTTTTCTTTCTGTCTATCTTCTATCCTATAGTCTACAAATTCTTGGATTTCTTCTCTTTATTCTCCCATCGACTACATACAAGTAGGAATCCAGTGAAATACTTATTGCTAGAAATTTGTTCAAATGGGCATTTCAACCTACAACACAACAACGATAACTTACTGTCTGATTAAAATATGAAACAGAATTGAGTCGAATTAATCTTGAACGAACTTCTCGGCATATTGATTTTGTTGTATGATAAAATCAAGGATATAGAATTTCAAAATGTGCATCATGTTCAGAAGAACATGTCAGATACGGGAAATGGTTCACTTGTTGTTCTCTATATTTGCATACTCATGAATGATTATGTTTAACCGAATCAATGTAGAATTCAAAATAATTACAATAGTTTGAATGTTTTTTTGAGGATGAAGCGAAAGTCACACCAAAAAAAGGTGTGGGTATGTGCTAGTACGCGTACAGTCACATGTTCGCGATTATCTATGAAAATTCAGAGTAACTATTCACAGGTTAATTATAAAAGAAATAATCTTGATGAAAGATCATTAAAAAAAACTTGAAATATATCGTTCATTAGAGATTATCTATTTCAAATGTTGATATGAGAAAATATGGAAGAATTAGAAAAAAAGTAATTCTTTGTTGTATCTGATAAGAAAAGAATATGCTGTGTCAATTTCAATGAGGTTGATAACTTCGTACATGAATTATCTCATACTGTGATTGAAGTATTCGTGATTTTGTGTGTCGACACATGCATTTCGTGTTGAACGAGATATTATTATAGTTATTATTGGGAAGTATCAACTCTTCATATTAAACTAAAAATGTAATATTTTTATGTGATCTTTTGTAAGATCATATCTTATAAATGATAGAAAAAGGCGCAAACAGAACAAAAAAGATGAATATATGGTGGAAAAAATTGAAACATTAACGATGTTGTTGTCAGCGTGACTGTTGATCTAGTTTCTTCTAATTTATACTGACACTCATACCCATCTACGTCCCATGTTTTTGTTACACACACACGTCAACATCCCTAACTCATAACTCAACCTAAATGGAAAGCAATGCGAAAAATTTTCACATGAACAAGAGCAGTACAAAATACTGAAAATCCTAGTATCGTTTCACAAAAAGGTCTTATATTATTTGAAGATGTATATTGAGCGTTTTTCCTCAAAACTATATAAAATAGTATACATGGAATGCTGTTTGTTTTATTGTCTTAATAAAAATTTAGAAATTAAAGTTCAGACATATTTTTGAATAGCTTTTTTTTAGGAAAGAAAATGGTTGCTTCGAACAAAAAGGGTTTCGTCCAATTTGATAGTTTTATTAGAATAGTAAAAAAAGAAATAACACTGATTATTCAATATATTATGTGTGTGAGACATTTTGTTGCACCCGGTTGCGATGTCTACTGGTTTTTCTTCTATCCTAATGTTTTTCCTGGTTTCTATATTTTCATCAATTGTTTTGTTTGTTCCGTCGCTGTAATACATCATATTGTGTCAGCTTCTCATCGATGCCGTTTTTATTATTAATGGAAAAAAAAGAAAAATAGTTATTTTACTCTTACTTTCTTCAATTTTTATTTTACACAACCTGTTACCAACAGCCTATTAACCTTCTTCATGTTCTACGACTATAAAGGCTGCCAACGTGTCTCTACATACCGTTGACTTTTTCTTTTTTGCACTTATATTTACTATTCAGCTTTCATCCTGAGTTATTTCTGCAGAAAAAAACATTCCCCACGGCATAAAATAGGTAGTAGAACGTTTCTTTTATTGCAGACTAAAGAAAAAAAAATAATAATTTAATTTCTCTGAAAGCCTTTTCCCATTTGAAATCCATTTTGAATTAATTCTAGCTATAACTGCAAGTATGAATGTGAACAGAACAGATTCAGATCGATCATTATCAATGATTCTCAAACGGCAATCACAATTATATGATCTTCACACTCATTTGCTTGGTATGGGTAATGCATTTTTTTGGATCGACACTATCTTGATGGATGATAATTATATTATGCCGACCAACGAAACTTTTCGTGCGAACGAAAGCAAACGTCATGAATTGTGTCCCCTTGTTTGGGATCTCGTGGATAAGGGTGGTTTTGTGGATGGAAAGGAAGCCGCTAACTTTTTCTATTACATAATCAATGAAATTATTCTGCCAAACAACGAGCAAAATTATGACCGTATAATGGAACAGATTAGACAGAAGAATTTCTCGCCGGTACTTAATAGTCTTATTAAAGAAGAATTTTATGATGAACTATTAGATCGAAATTTAACGTTTAAAAATGATTTTTCCTACGATGTCGTCTTGACATTATTTGATTTGAGCAAAAGTCTTGGAGTGAAAGAAGAAAATTGTGATGATATTAAACAACTGAATGTTACGGAAAAATTGGGCATCTATCCGCCATTAAAAATCAATTTTCGTGATTGGATTATTTTTAATGCACGTAAACAAGAATTAGAAATTGTTTATGGTATTCAGGTAGAAGAATTGCGCCATTTAATCAAGTGTGATCCAAATAAACCTAGCAAGGCAAAAGAACTAGCACGATCATATATTATTAATGCTTTTTCAATGTGCGATGCTCAAGGAACACCTGCTCGTCATGTCGATTTACATGGTTTTCATGGATCATTTACGCCTGATTTTTATCCACGTCGATTTGCTCTTAAAGATTCAATTTATTCTCAACGACTTGATATTCTAGCTGCACTCATTGCGCATATTATCGATCGCTATCAAGCATGCTTACCTCCTATTAGATACTGTGAGTTTTCGATAAGTGTTAATGATCTCTCTCGACCATGGATGTTCGATGTACTTCGAAGTGTTCAAGTATATGACGAGACAGCCAAAATACACAGTCGAAGAGATGAAAAAATTCATACATATATACCAACAAATGAATTAAGTTCGTTTTCACAGTTAGTTCTCAACGATCATTTTTCTCATCTTGAATTTGCTTTCACTGGACCAGAATCAGACAAGAGCGAAAATATTCATCCTACGGCATCCAAAATGACCTATAAATTTTTGGCTGGTTTCGATCGTCAAAAAATCCAAACGTCTCAATTTAAAAATATGAATGAAGCTCTTCGGTTCTTACTCGAATATCCACAACAAGCAATTCTACTAATGATACGAGAAATTATAAATAGCAAGAAAGAAGCAGTAAATTCAGCAGCGAACGAAGAAAGTGTATTTGGTGATTTTTTGAAAAAACTCAAGAATCTAGAGAGTAAGGCCAATGTAATGCCAGCTTTTTATGATTGGGTAGTTGGGTTAGACCTCTTTGGTGATGAGTTAGGATATCCATATTGTCCATTTGTAGCACGACCTTTCATTGAATACATTCAAAATCGTCGAAGAATAGCACATGAAACGAAAAGCAAGAACATTTTCGGTGTGCGTATTCATTGTGGTGAAAATGTCATCTTCGCTGATGACAGGACACATACATATCGATTATTTGTCGCTCATATGTATATTGTCTTTCGTTGCTTGCGATTTATTCAGCAAGAACTTAAATATGGAATTCGAATCGGTCATGGTATTGCTTTTGATCGTATTCTTGGCAATAGTATGAACAAATCAGGCTATCGAAAATCATCCGTACTCTTAGCCGAACTTCGAGAACATGCTTATCATTTAATGAAGACTATTGCTTTTGAAGTAAACATTACTAGTAACGAATATTTATTAGGACAAACATTACGTCAAGGAGATGATAGACAGCCGCTTCGTCTTGATGGATTATTTGGCAAAACACCTATTATTCTTGCAACCGATGATGATGGAGTCTGGCCTATTGATCAATGCCCATTTACCCATCCTGGTCATCAATCGTTGACTGCTGAATATTGTCGAGCAATTTCATCTGGTCTAATAAGAACGGTGGATCAACTCAAAGGCATTTTTCAAGATACAAAAAATTTTTGTTTTTGGAATGTGGGCGGAACAATACCGAAACCATCTAACGATGATGCTCTTCCCCCTGATGATTCCTTGATCAATACTGTCATCATACATCCAGATATTATCAGACGTCTACTTAAGCTATACGGCGGTAAGACAATTGCAATAAATCCGGGTTTTGAAAGGTTTGCATGCAATACACCGTACAATTATAGTATTAAATGGGCTAACGTATATGGCGCATTACGTGTAGCATTTATTTGTATCTGTGCTAACCATGATAAAAGTGATCAAGATGAAAAAATAAAATCGGAAATTCGTAAAGAATATGATACTTTATTCGGACCAAATGACATCGAATTCGATAACATTTATGATTTCTGGAGACAAGTTCGTTGTAAATTTATATTTTTCAATGATTCTGAAACATGTAGTAATGGTCGGCATGTTCTACTCAGACATAAAGTCGACAACCGTCATCTAGTCTATGCTGCTCCCCAAAACAGTGACCTATCACAGTCACAAGATAAATCTCTGACTGGATTTATCTCTCACTATCCACTGTTACCATGCACAATTCATGCCTACGGAAACCATATTAACATTGAAAACACGATGGAAGTTTTACAAAAACTAGTGACTGATACCGACGGGGAAGAATCATATAAATGTATGACTGTATATATATACACAAATACAAATAGATACACGCATGTACCCGTAGCACTAAGTAAGAACTTTGATTTAAAGATAAATCCTCATTACTCGAAGCGTAATAAAGAGATGGGAAGCTTTTTATACGTATTGTGTCCAAATGCTAGTGCTGCTACAGCTGCTCTTCATTTAATTTCTCGAAAGATTTCACCCAATCCATCTAATGAAAATACTTGTTTGATGTTTGGTGTTGCAACTCCTACACTGTCAGAAACTCAACAAGCATCGGGATACATTCCTGAGAAGTCACTCTCTGATGGTTCAAAGCATCAAGTGAATAGTGATCTCGATAAAATGATGGCACATCCTGATGCAAAGAACAACTGAAAGTCATCTTAACAATGGTATATATTTATATACTAGTATAGCGATTTATGACGTTATTTTCAATGACTTTTGCTTTCTGTAGTTTCCCATTTAGAAATGTTTCTTTGCTTATTTCTTTAAAAATAAACGAAAAACTCAATCTTTCGATGAAATTCGAGAGTTTCCAGAAAGAACGTGCTCGTTCGAGCTAGAACCAAATGGCGACAACTTATTGATATATTGAAAACTTGATGATTTATTTGATATAAACAAGAATTTTAAACTTGTGCTCTAGATCTATCACACATATGTTTCCGAACTTAGTAGAAGATTCAGTCTTTTCTCATGAAATGAGAGAATCTCATTAAGTTAAAGATGAATTTCACTTTCAGATTTTCAAGGGCATGATTGTTTTTCATTTTTATTTATTTTGTAGTTTAATTATTTCTGTTACTCCTTCAGTAGTTCTATTATGTTTTGAACTTTAAAAAGTAAATAAGGTATGAAAAGAATTCTATGAACTAGTTTGAAATAGACTGTCAAAATATAAAGTCTCAGTGTCAAAGAACTTTGAACTAACGCACTGCCACTTTTTTCATTGAGAGTTTTCTGAATTAAAACCATTAGATAAGCAAAACTTCTTGTTTCAAATATTGAATGGAAATGAAATGGTAAAAAAGCACATTTTGACGCATTCCATTGGTGTGACTGAACCGATCGGTTTATATTATTAATTGTATATTTTGAAAAAAAAGATCATGTTGACGATTTTCTTAATTTAACATACGGTATAAAGTTACCATGGCTTTAAATACGAACGAGAATAAAATTGTAATAAAAATAGTTTTAACTCAAAGAGTATAGTGCAAAAGATTAGATAAACCTTGAAATGAAATTCGAATGTCTTCTTGTTGTTCAAGTAAATTTTGACAGGTTCTATTTTATAGTTAGTTCTATTATTCGTTGGTTGGCAAATAATATTTGTTCATGTACATTGTTGGGCTTCACTATAAATATCATTGCCAGAGACCGAAAAATCAGTAAAATGGTCGTAAATCCGGAAGGACAGCGTATGGGGACGAATCCGTTTAGGCTACTGCTAGTCTCATCGAGTTTTACTTATGGGCAAAATATGAGCTCGATCAGCGATTAACACTTGGGAAGGTTTCCTCGTAAGACATCGAGAGTGAGAAAAGTGATTGATAATACGAGTCAATATTAATTCACGAACTCCAATTCATTGAAAATCATTTCTAGTGAAAAAATATATTAGATTAGAACGTGAGATCTCCTGAGCTTTTCAACAGCACTATCTTCTCTTTCCATGTTAATCTTCTTTATGATCTGTATGTTATAGATTCTTTGTCTATCATATTCTATAGAAGAAACAAGTAAGCATATCGTTTGTCTTTGATTTATTTATCTCTCTTCTTTGTTTTTTTTTTACTGATATTACACTGTATTTGTCTTTTCTTTTCTCTTCCTACCTGTTATCATGTTTTTGTAAGAGTCAATAGACGTCATAGTATATAGCTTATTTCAAAGAAAAACAATCGTTTCATCATGTTTTCACGTACAGATGCTTTGCGGATGCGATGGTGTGAATATGGGAGCAATGTCATGACTGTTTTTGACCTTGCTCAAGGACATCATCATATGGGTGGTAGATCTCAATCCTAACTAGCGAATCAATGAGAATGGCTTGAGACGAGCTACTACTACAACACAAATATACGTCAAATTGAACCGTATTTTATTTATTTTTATTGTTTTAGTTTGTAAAGAATATATCGAGAAACGAAAAGGAACATAAGTTTATGAACATGGAGTGTGTCAAAATGTTTCCATACTTTTTATTTTCTATGTATCTCAACTTAGATAAATAATAAAACTCTTGAATTTTGACAGTAGGTGCGCCGGAAAAAGCTCTACAATTTACATCAAACCACTTAATTTATAGTTGCACTTTTTGTTTTCACAATGGACAATTCGATGCGACCAAATTTCGAAGACCTTCGAATTTCATTTCTTTTTTTTTAAATGGCAACACTTCTACATTTGTGCTTTGTTACTATGTAGAAGGTATATGCCTCGAACAAGTAATATTAGAATGAATAGGAAAATATAATTGGAACGCGTATCGATTGGTCTAAGCTCGTCCATCGATTATGGCTTTCAATATCACTCATTAATTGAGGAAATAAGAACAGAAATTTGTCGTGTACACAAGTAATCTCCTTAGAAACGTCGAAATTTAGTCGCATAGAATTATCCATTTTGAAAACAAGAAGTCTCACTATAAATTAAGTGGTTTGATGTAGATTGTAGAGCGTTTCACACTGTACCTTATGTAAGATTTTGATTTTTCAATACAGTGAATTAACTGGTTGAAAATTGATATGCAAAATACGACCATTGAATCTGCTGTATACGTTAAAATAGAGCGCAGTAGCACAGTATCTATGTGTTTCATTTTAGGTCCAGAAAAGATCATCGGGTATGGGTATGATGATGCTGGGCGCGGATGTGGGTAGCTGGGTGCAGTTGTGGTGCGTGATATGTGGCGTGTGTGCATCAGAAAACTATCTACATTCCACTTTCATCTGAGTTTATTGATGTAGTTTATCGACCAAGTATTCTTTCGGCAAACTGCTGTTGGTATAGGTAGTCTTTTAATTCACAGCCATACGCCACACTCACATCCACTTCATTTGATTGATAGGACTTCAAATTGTTCGTAAAACTCAGACATTAAATGAGCAAGTTCTGACGGGACCATTGCAAAAGAATATTTTTTCTTACGACGTAGATAACACTTTTTATAGAGCAATCTCTTGTATTTGGGTGAATATTTTCTCTTACGAGCATCATATAATAATTGTGTAAACGATAAAATTTGTTTGAAAGACATTATATCTTGATCATTTTCAGCATCAACGATTGTCTCTTGCACCTCAAGACACTGTCGTATATACTCTATACCATATTTGATATTATACATTTGAAAATAAGTTTGGCTAATATTATAAAGTATAGATACTTAATTTGAACTATCATTATTATCGGTAATTATTAAACATTTTTTTATAATAAAATAAACCCATTTGAAAATCAAATGTGTCATGATAAATTTCGGCAAAAATGTGGGGTTTGCGTGTGGATTGTCTCTTCACTTACCCTCACACCTATGATTGATTTATCTATAATTTTTTTCTAATCTAATAAATCTTCTCTTGATTTTACTGTGCGATCATTCTTGTTTTGTTCTCTCCTCTAGATTTCGCTTTGCGGACATGGCTTCTTAATTGGTTAACATGTGTTCACAATCTCAATACGTAATAAAACAACTCGGTATCCTAACAATGTTCATACATTTTAATACAAATCATGGAACATGAGTAACGACATTCTATTATCATCGATGTGAATGTGCCTTAAATATTCGTATATAATCATTATTGAAAAATATCTATTAAAGGATAAAAATGATTGAAAAATATCAAAAGGCAATAATGCAGATGTATCGACCGTTATTCTGTTCATATTTTTTCAATTTTCATATTCATATACATTCGTATTCATATACACAATAATACATATCTGTCTATTTTGTTTGACGAGCTTCAGTTTTTCGAGCTTCTTTCTCATACTCTATATGTACTAGGCTCGGTAAAAAGAAACGACATTCTTATTGATAGCTATTCAATGAATGTTTGAATCTAAGTTGACTTGAATATTTATTCATGATAAGGAAACAAAAACGTTAGAATCAGTTGATTTTTGTTGGCATGGATGTGGTTTTAGGTGTGGGTATGATCTTCTTCAATCGCCCACATCATACATTTGATAAAAATATTTCTTATTCATGAAAGAGAAAAGAGTTATTTTTTTTATCAACAGTAATCTTCATCAATCTGAAATACTACAAGCAACAAGAAGATTTGCGTTCTTAGTCTGTTCCAGTGGCACACTTAACAAAGACTTCGGTCAATAATAGTTCTACCTTGTTCAAGATTATTATCAATTCTAAACGTTCTTATCAAACAGTCACATATAAAAAGAATTTGATTATTTCACTGATTATCTTTTCGAACTCATTGAACAACACTGAAATTTTAAAAAAATACACTATGAAGTGACATCGGGTATAGTTGTAAGCGTTAAAAGACAGAACAATCACAGATATCTATTCTACATTCTTACCCACCCACATCCTCCACTATTGATTCTATGTATTACAACAGATATCTTCGGTAACGATAAAACTTTTATTACAACCGTATAATGAAAACAAACACTGAAAGAAAATGTTATTGAAAAATGTCTATTTTACAACACAGATGACTTCGAATGAGATATTGAGCTTGATTAAATGATATTTTCTAGAATGAAACAAAATAGTCGATTAATTGAAGACAAAACAGTGCTGCAAAAAAATAAATTTACTTTTTGTATTAACTTGGTTGCTCTATTCATATGTTTTTTTGTGTCCCAAATACTTAATGTACTTCTTAACATGATCAAAGGTGACCAGATAAATGAACATTTGGAAACAATGGTTCATTCGAATATTTTTCTCGCTTCAAAGGAAAGATGAGAGATAGAAGAATGGTCAACGATTACGTACTAAATGAATACTTCAAAATATTAAGAGTTTATTCAAATATTTTGGTCATTTTGAATAGAAGATGTAGAGCTAACAGTTCGATCGAAGATGATCTATCAAATGAAGCTTTTAAACCAATATATTATTCAACTTTTTCGATCTCTTTGAAGAAAAAGTTTAAATTTAATAGTAGGATCGAATATCATATGCTAAATAAACAGTTGAAAAGGAGATTTTATTCAGATATTTTTTGTATTTTCACAAAAAATGATTTGAAATTCATACTATGAGTGAAGTTTATGTGGCTAACGAATATTTCGCAACAGGAAGGCTTTATACAACTATTTTAGCATCTTCAACAGAAAACTTACCATTAAATAGTTAGTCAAAGATTACATGATGAATGACTATTTTAAAACAGGAAACTGTCATATCAATGTGTTGATCATTTTCAAAGAAATATTTCGATTATGTAGTATGATAGATAATCACATTCCAAATGAATATTCTCTATCCTGAATGCCTTTTTCAAAGATCTTTCTCATTTTCAAAGAAATATTTCGATTATGTAGTATGGTCGATGATCACATTTCCAAATGAATATTTTATATTCTGAATGCCTTTTTCAAAGATCTTTCTCATTTTCAAGCGAGCATTCAGTGTTGGCAAAGTGATCAATGATCATATGTCAAATGAATACTTCAAATGAATGTATTATTCAAATATTTTGATCATTTCGAAGCAAAGATTTTGAGTTACTAATATGACTGCAGATCATCTATGCAATGAACATTTCAAAGGAGGAGGAAGACTTTGTACATATATTATGATGGTTCCAATGCAAAGATTAAAAACTAGCAACTTGACCAAAGATCAGATTGAGAATGAATGCTACATAAGAATATTTTATTGAAATATTCGGTTCACTCGGGAGCTATTGTTTGAAGTTAGTAATTTATTGAAGATTACATAGCACATGATTACTTCAAAGGAAAGTTTTATTCAAATATGTTGGTAACTTCAAAAGAAAACTTTAGATTTAATAATTTGGTCGAAGATCACATGATGAACGAATACTTCAAAAGAGAATTTTAGTCAAATATTTTGATCACTGCGAATAAAATATTTAGACTTGATGGTATGATCAAAGATAACATGATAGAAGAATTCTTTCAAGTAGGAGAGTTTTGTAGAAATATTCTGCTTACTTGAAAGCAAAGATTATGTGTTGCTAACATGATGGAAGATCGCGTTGTCAATGAATACTTCAAACTACGTTTCGCAATATATGCTTTTACTATGTCACGTAGGCTATGATGACGATTGATGTTAGCACTATAGTTTTCTTCCACTTGTAATACTGCTCTTGTCATGCAGTTAGTCAATATAAATGCCAATAGAACGATGTAGTACAATGATTTAGTGATAATGACCATGTTTGTCTGTTGAGTGTACAATCAGCGGATTAGTTATTGGAGAATATGTGAATACTTATGATATTACAGCCATTTACTCTATATTTATACACATATCAATCGCAATAGACATTACTCACTAATAAAAAAAGCCTTTATACATTCGAAAGTCATGAAAATGTGTGCATATGACCATGAAAAGCATGCTTGTGTATCGTCATTAATCAAAGAATAAAATCGATGCGTCATTTCTGTATCGATGCACATTATCATGCAGGGCGAATATTTATTTTTACACTCATCAAAAATGCGTCATTCTTCATAATATTAGATTTGTACATGTAATAAAGCAGACATGATTCTGAGTTTATCTTATTATGGATAGATAAACAATAGTGGAATCAATATTTGTGAATATTTGAACTTTTCTCTTGGATACTGATGGCTCATGTTCCAGCGAAATACTATTTTTCTCAGTGAGAAAATCGATAAAAAATCCAAACAGATTTTCGTAGTGATAAACTTTATTTTATTGAAGCTATTATTACTTATTGGTTGTTCATGTGCCTAAATGAATATCTGTTTATTCTATAAATAGTTAGACGCGTATTTATTCTAATTGATTTACTCCGAGTAGAACGTGTCAAAATTGATAATAACTTGTTGAACAACTATTTAATATTACTGATTTTTTAATATATACTCATACCTGTTTTAGAATCACGTGGTCAGCTATTTAGTATGATTACTTTTTTCTGATTAAGGAAAGAAAAGACTGGATGTTCGTAAATGAATCAGAAAAACAAATAAATAAAACTTGTTCTTTTATTTGAACTGAGTACTGCTAAAATTATATCTTGAGTATTTCAATTGAATCAAAAGAAGTTAAATTCAAAAATATTTCTAAAATAATGGGTTAGTTAGAATAGAATAATATGCAACGAGAATATGAAAAGATCAGAAAAATAAATTCAGTGCGCAGCATATTTGCTGTTGTTTTATATTTCAATAACAATCATTAATTTTTAAGTGTTTAGCTGGGTTCGCAGCAGCCCTTCAAAAATATATAGGAATTGTTAGATCTCAAATATATAGGATCGTCCTCGGATATATAGGAAATATATAGGACGCTAATATTTCGTTAAAAACAATTAGACATGTAAAAATCACTACTGCAGAATGGTAGGTGATGTTCTTATAACGTACCTCGACTCACCTAAATAAAAATACAGCTTTGTTATGAAAAACAGTAGTATGGCAATATTTTATACAAAGACAAAAAGAAATAATTTATGTTCGGTTAACCTTCAACTATTTCACAGCTACATGCAAGGAGGAAACAGGTAAAATCAGATTATTTTTGTTGACTTTTTTTATTTTCCTCTTGATTTTTCTAATTTAAAACCAACTGATTTTAAACGAAGAAAATAAGAAAAATCAAAAAAATCAGAAAAATTTTAAAAAATCGGAAAAATCCAAAGAAGCAAAAAAACAGTCAGATTTCAACTGTTTCACTCTCGATTGATATTTTCAAGCACAAAGATTAAAAATTTTACCATTTTCATTGATTTGTCTGATGTTTTTGATTTTGATTTTTGATTTAAATCAAAAAGTCAGTTTTTCCTCCCTTGCCTACATATCATAAAAATATTATAAAATTGACTGAGATAAAGATCACAAAAATGCTTTCTTTTAATGTAAAGAAAACAATCGATATCTTTTGTCAAGACTATTATAGTTTCTAACAGTCTCAGAGCTATATAATCAAAATGTATACATATTTAAAGCACAGCAAAATAATCGGTTTAGTAACAGATAGTCGATGCATTGGTAAAAGTTTTCTGCGTTTCTGATACTACTTGAAAATAAACACCACCGTTTCTAGTACTGTCAAACATAATAGAATCACTTTCTAGCTGCAACTTTCTTTAAATTTTCTTTTGTCTTAATATCACTTTTTTTGAAATAAAATTCATCACAAATATATAGATTAGCATGTGCTCTTTCACTGTTTATTGCAATAACTACTGACGAAACACATGTAAATCTATACATTTGTGTTGAATTTTATTTTTTTTAAAGTGATATTAAGATAGAAAAAATTTAAAGAAAATATTGCCCTTAGTGCTTTATATTATGTTATGAACGCCGCTGATAATATTTAAACAACATGCTAGGCACTTATTTAAAGGAAATATGGTTCTTTCCATAATAATCTTTAATTTTTTGAAAAATATAGGAAATATAGGAAATATAGGACGACTGCGATGCCAGGTGGACACAAATAAACGTGAAGAGAAGATCACATGCTCTTGAGAAAAATAACAGAAAACTGAACCATTGACAAAAATAATTCGACTTGAAAAATTGCTTGACTCACTCTAATCTGTGACACTGACGTTCATTTTGTAGCAACACAAACAAAATCATCCAATATTTGAATATAAGTTTTCATAAGTAAAAAGAAAAACGATCAGTTGTTTTATTTATTAAAGTTCACATGAGATACAAAGAAAAACAAGAACAAAATCAAATAGTTCATGATGAGTAAATGTAATCTAGCCTTTCATACAAGAGAATATTCAAATACAAATTAAAAATGAAATACTACTTTCATCGAAACATGTTTGCCTGGAATTATTCTTGATCTAGTTGATGATGAATCACAAATAAGAATTTGTTCATTTGTCATTGTTGCTTTAAGAATACAACTATTTTTATTCAATTGTTGCTCTTTGAGAGAAATCTAAATAAAAAATAAAGTATTGATATTCTATTAAGATTCATAGTTTTGTTTTTCATACTTACATTTTTTTCAATTCGCCAATTATCTTGAATAATATTTTCCTGCAAACGAGTTTCTTCTACTGGTGGAGCAGGCCATTTTTCACTATCAGTAATTAAACTTCGTTGCTTAAAAAAAAAAATGATTTAAGTTTACTAAGAAATTATTTTAAATGAGAGACATAATATTACTTCATTATTAGATTGACTTGAAACAGTTGTTATTGAAGATAATGATGATGATAATAAAGAATTATTTGATTTACTCGATCGTAACGATAATGATGATGACATTGTCGAACATAAAGAACAAGAACAAAGTGACATCTGTAAAATGCAAGAAAAAAAAAAAGAAAAGATTTATAGAAGAGAAGAAACCTCTTTGATTTTAGTAAACATAATGGTTGATTGATGTGAAAGTCAAACATCATTTTTACAAAGTAGAAAAACAAAATTGTTAATTTATCAAAATCAATACAAAAACAAATTCCATGGCATCGAAAGAACAAGAAATAAATATGTCTGTATGGCATGATCGAGAAATTCGATTTGATGTTCCAACGAAGTAATTTATTTCACATATATATTTCTTATAAACAAATCATAGTTTTTTTTTTTAGTGATCTTAAATGTCGTTCCGGTGAATTTATTATTGATACACTTAGTTCAGTCGAAGATACAAAAGGAAATAATGGTGATAAAGGTAAATCAATGATTAATTTTATTCAAAAACTAAAATAAATAATTCACATTTAAGACGATGATGAAAATGCATATAATAATTCACTGTTTCTAACAGTGGCAGATCTAGGATTCTTCCGGGGGAGGTGCGATTGTAGGCAAAAAGCGTAATTTCAGATGCATTCAAGATAGTAACAACTTGTTTTTTCGTTTGCGTTATTCCTGCGAAAAATCGGAAAAGTTTTCTTGAATGGGGGGTGCGACCGCTTCGACGCACCTCCCCCTCTAAATCCGCCACTAGTTTCTAACAATCAAAATGATCGTATTGTAAAATCTATTATCTTTATATTCTCATATCTTAATGTTAGGTAAACAAAACTCATGTATATATTGAGTACAGTTATATAGATTTCTATTGAGTTTTAGAAAATTTTTACAAATCCTTAACTATTATCATTGTTGAGTTCTTAAACTTACACTCATTTCTATGTATTTCTTACGTAAATATTAAACAATTTTTATTCTTTTTGTCTCATATAGGAAAACTTACTATATCCAATATTCGTCTTATTTGGCATAGTCATGCATCACCACGTGTTAATCTTTGTATGTAAATAAATAATTACAAAAATAAAATTTATTTATATAATTTTGTTTTTTTTTCTTTGTAAGCTATTGGTCTTTATTCGATTGTAACAATAACTGTTCGAAATGCAAAATCAGTATTACTACTATTCAATCTACTTTTAATTGTTATTGTTGTTTTTTTTTTGAATAGAAACTTCGTGGTAGTACAGAATCATTATATCTTTTAACAAAATCTGGTTCATCACGTTATGAATTTATATTTACTAATCTTATTTCTGGTTCAAGTGCAATGCTTAATTCAGTTGTTGCTGTTCATAAAGCATATGATTCATCACGTCTTTATCGTGAAATTCGTCTTCGTTCATCATTACTTAATAAAGGTCAATTACGTATTTTACCTAAAGAACGTTTACATAATCGATATAATGGCGTTTGGAATCTTTCATCGGATCAAGTAAATATTTTTTTTTCTTGTATTAGAAAAATTTGAGTTGTTTACTTTAATTTAAGGGTAATCTTGGTATTTTTCATATAACAGATATTCGTGTTATATGGCATGCAGAATTAAATGAAAATTTTAATGTTAGTGTACCATATTATCAAACAAAAAGTATTAAAGTTCGAGATTCAAAATTTGGTTTAGCACTTGTTATTGAAACAACACCATATGTAAGTAAATTTCATGAAGGTGTTGTTTTTGTTTTTTTTTTTTTCAAGAGAAAGTCTTTTTTGTTCTAGAGTGGAAATTATTTACTTGGATTTCAATTAGCACCTGAAGAAAAACTTCGAGAAGTTCATAAAGAACTTATTACACTTCATAGAACGTAAGTCAATGAATGATTTCATATGAATCATCGATGAGAAAACAAAAAAAAAAATTCCAATAATTTCTTTTAGTTATTTTGCAAATCCAGAATTTGGTGTACAATTTTCAATAGAAGAACAACAACCTGATCAACCAACAACACGTTTAGAAAGTAAAGTTGATGATATTGAAATATTACAAAGTCGAGAACATACAGATTCATATGCAGTATGTTTCTTTTTTTTTAAATTCATATCTAAAAATAATTACGTTTTCTTTCTTTCTTTTTTTTTGTGTTAGACTTATTTGACTGATACTGGTAAACATGATCATGAACCTGTTTATTCGGAAGAACTTGGTTTAGCTATTGAAAAACTGCCACAAGGTTATACATTGGCTAGTCTTTGGGATATTCTTAGTTGAATATGAAAATTTGTTTTCTTATCAAAAAAGTGAACACATAGTGTAAAGTTTTATTGATCTTAAAATTTTTTGTATTGATTAAAATAGAAAATCGGTTTATGAGAAAACGATCGAGAAATTTTTGAATCAATCTAATTCAATTGACGATTAACAAAAAAAAAATTTAGATTGATAAAAAAATAGCTGATTTTGTTAGAAAATTTCTAATCAATTAAAAGAACTGATCTATAGAATTTGGTAAATATTAATAATTTTAAATTTAATTTCTATCTCAATAGAAATATGTTAAACATTGCTTTCACTTAAACTTTTCTTTTTTGTTTTCTTCAAAGTAAATCAGACTTCATTAATCTTAAAAATCTATGAAAACGAAAGTAATAATATGCATCAAAATCAAATAGTATTATTGTCAGTACCGAATTTTATTATCTTCTATGCATACTCACTAGTTGATTTTGATAAAAAATAGATAACACTTATTTCTTACTACTTTTTAATACACGAAAAGATTCTTTGATCTGAGCACCAATGGAACTGGTCGAAAATGTTCATTAATGAGATGTTTTTCAGTTTCTTTTCTTTTATAACGTATAAATATTGATTAATACACAACTGATGTTATGTGACTTCAGGTACTATTGTTGTTTTTATTCTTTGCAAATGTACGATTAATCCATCTGCTTCTTAGATATGTCCTATGATTGTCTATCTAGCAAAATACACATAATAACATTTTTTTTTTCTTCTTGACCTATACACAATTGACAGAACATATGTTGCTCGCATTAGAAAAGCTGGTTATTGTTTATAAAACCAGAAACTAAGTGTCCGACGATTGTTCAAAATATTGTAGTACTTAGGTATAGGAAGTATTGTTATATTTAAAATTATTTATCAGCAATGAAGAAAAAAACAGCTTGATTAATTTTAATATTGAAATAATCATTTGATGCGAATAGAATAATTAATCAACCTATTACAAACTCAAACTAATCATCTTATCAATCATATTAAAACTACATAGGAATATCTGAAGAAAAAAAAAATTGAAACTTTTTTTTGTTTGTTTGTATTTACAAACTTCATTTTGTTAACATGCAGAAAAAAAGCAACATAGAAGTACTCTTTTTTTTTGTCTTAATTAACTAAAATGTATATATGTAGTTTCTATAGTTCTATGATTGTTTGTTTTTTTTTTCATGAACGATCACGACGTGCACGAGTATCCGATATTGCTGGTGATCGAGATCGATGATGTCGTCGTCGTCGATCATCACGAGATGAACTTCGTCGTCGATGATCATAATGATGATGATGATGATGATGTTTATGTGATCTATTTCGATCATGTGAACGTGATCGAGAACGATTATCACGAGATGATCTAAAAAAATAAAACAAAGAGAGAAAGTAAATTTTATCAATTTTGAGTTTTACAGTTTAGTTCTTACCGATATTTTTTATTTTGATATGAATCGGATGATACATGATGATGATAACCATTACGATCAGTTGATGATGAGGCTATATTACCAAATGTTTCAGGCATATCAATAGCATTTGATGATGTCATATTTTGTTGTTCGACATCATTGTCATAACTATATGGTATTAAAAATAAGAAAAAAAAATCTAGATATAATTATTGATCTTAAAATAAATAATTATTCTTGCTTACTTTCCCAATTCACATACCTTGAATATGTATCATAATTATTTTGTTTATATGGTCCATGTTTATGTAATTTTTCCATGATTTCTTTTTGAGCTGGAACCGGTATACGAGGAAATAATGTATCAAACCATCTAGAAAGAATTGTCGTTATTTAAAAAAAAAAAATTCAAAATAAAATACACATACTCAATTTGTGTTAACCATTGACGAAGCATTTGACCTATTGACATAATACAACCACCACCAGCTTTTACATCTAATGTCTAATCAAAAAAAAAAAAAACAAAGATTCATCATAGTAAGTTTTCTTTTATTAGAATTTACTCACTTACTTCTGGATCATCAAGATATTCTTCAAACCATTCAAATAATTCATTTGGTGGTTGAGTATATCTTTAACAGAAGAAAAAAAAGGTATAATTCAATTTACATAAAAATACAATTCTTAACATACCGAATATACATAAAACCAAGTGCACGAATATATGGTGAATCTGTATGAATAGTTAAACTAATAGCTTGTTTTCTTGTTAATTTTAATGTATATAATTTGTACAATAAACAAAATGCTGTTGATACAATACCACCTCCACCAACACCACGTACCTAAATAGATAGATTTTATTGAGACTATGTTATATTTTCTTTGAAATCATCATTAAGATTGTTTTTCAAAATTTACATGCAAATTTTTGTCAATAATTATTATTTCGATTTGAATATTTTACTAAAAGTTTCTTCATTTGACTCTTTACAAATGTATATAGAATAATTCTGTATAGAAATAAATAGTTCAACATTCTAAGCTGAAAACACATAGATAGAGTATTGTATAACATATATTTCATCTTTTTTTAGCTGTTCGATATGTAAGATATTAATCTTAACAAAAAGTATTACATTTGAAAATATTTAAAATTCTGACATTATGTAGTCTTCAATGTAGAATATTTGACTGTTAATTTTCATAGAATTCGAACCTGAAAGTGACTTAAAGATGATCATATAGTTTTTTAGTTGAAAAATTAACAAAAACATATTTTTTAACTTTAGATATGAATTATTTAACTCTTTCTTTGATCGTAATAGAGTTTCTCTAATAATTTGAAAACTAATTAATCGTATGACAAGACTTCTTCATCAATGATATTGTTCGTACATATATAATATAACGTTTTGTTTTGAGTTTTTCAATCTATATGAAAAAAGAAAATATGTTTTACATACTCCTCCACACATGCCAGTTAATCCAGATGTTTTTCGACTACCTCTTTCCCATGGTTCCAAATGTTTAACCTAATGAAAAAATATAAATTCATAAAAATAAAAGATTGAGTCAATCTATATTATAAGATTTTACTTGATAATAAATTTCATCGACAACTTCATGATAAGTTTTTTTTTCATATAAATTAACTTTAAAATATTGTGATGCCAAAATATTATTAAGTACTAATGAATTTAAATTCATTGATTCTTTATTTCCCCATATTGAAAGAATATTTGAATCTTTCGACATAATATTTTGTTTTTATCAAATCTAAAATTCCCCCAAAAAAAAAACAAAATAAATGACATAAAAAATATATATTATTCATTTTTAGAGAATGCAAAGGTTATATATAAGTAACAATTCTAAGTAGAAAAACAAATATGGATCTATCCATAGAAAAAAAAATACTAATAAATGAAGATATAATAGATAAATAGTGTTACAATATATTTAAGTTCACCGTTAAAAATTAATCTTACTCCAAATTTTCACCTTCATATCAACACACATGTTCGAACTACATCCAATAACAAAAAAGGATCAAAAAATTCTCTATGGATCTCCATTCTATAGATTTAATTGTATTCTTTTTTTTGTTCAATTTGAAAGATCATGTCGGATTGCAGAACTTGCCTTTTTTTTTAAAAATCCTTTCTTCTTTATGTGAAGAATAAGAATAACAGCTGTGTACGTTCTTTTTCAAACAGAAAATCGAGAATTCCGGAATATACAATTCGAAAAGATTTTTCATAATAAAAAAAAAATCATTATCGTTTTTAAAAGATAAGACCACAAACTATTTTTTCGTACATTTTATCTTAATTTCGATTTTTTTGTTTTTTTTTTTGAAAAGGGATAAATTCATAATTAATTCCAAGTAGAATTATCTTGACTTATCAGATATATATATATGCAAGTTCATTATGAAATCAATGGGAAATTATTACTTATAGATAACCTTACTATTCGTAAAAAAATTAAATAATTATTATATCTTGATTTTTATCAAGATCAATAATTCCTCCTTTTTCTTTTTGTTGTTGAAAAAGTGCATGAGTTTTTTCTTGCCATTGTCTTATATTTGATGAAAGATTTCTAATTAATTCTTGATTTTCTTCATTATTATTATTAATTATTTCATTTGATGATGATAATGATGATAATGGTAATTGTTCAATAATATTACTTGATAATATTTGTCGACATACAGGATCTTCAATATCATTACGAAAATCTTTTTCAATAGCAAATTTACATTTAATTGCTTCTTGATATTTTTCTTCTAATTCAATTTTTTTTAAATTTACATATGATCCAAGACAATTTTTATGATAAAAATGATGACAATTTGTTTTTATTATATCATATCGATTATTAATTAATGTTAAACATATAGCACAAATTTCATCTGGTAATTCATATAATGATAATTTTGAACGTATTAATTCAATACAATCATAAAGTACACATGAACCAGAATTTAATTCAAGACATAAACATATTGATGAATTTAATTCATCTAATTGTTTATCAGTTAAACCACGTGAACGACAAAGTGTTATTTTAGGTGAATCAATATCAGGATATGTTGATGGTAATTGAGCAATTAATGTTATACATAAAAAACGTTTATCAGGATCAAAATCATTTTCATCACCATTCGAATGAATTGTTATACAAATGGATGTTTCTTTATCATAATTGATAATTAAATCATCCAAATAAATTGATTTTAATACAGTTAATTCTTCATCCATATATATGTTTTTGTTCTTGTGTAAGAAAATGAAATATTCTTTCTTATATTATCATCATCATTGGTTTGAATAAAACTTACCAATGAAAAAGACCAAAAAATTAAAGCAGAGCGCTAGTAGTTTTAGTTAAATATATATATAATAAATTATTTTTCTTGAAAAAATCTTATTAAATATTTTTATTAAAATAAAATTTATATAATATAATTCAATAATTATACTATTAGAATATTGTTTATTTACTATTATGTCACTATATTACACTACTAACTATGGTATACTATTATATCATGAATGACTCATATTCTCTTACTAAATTCAGCTTTAGTTATGCATTTGATAAGTAGCTTTAAAGTAAGGAATTATATACGATAATTTAGATATTGAAAAAATCTAAATTTATTTTATAATTCAATGAAATACTTCTTATTACAAGTAAGTTTCAATAAATATGTGCTATAAACCGATAACACTTGACTTGTATTGCTCTCTATATTTTCCGTCAAAATAATTCTAGACAATATATTGACACCCCCATGTAAACATATGATAATTATGATTCTTTTATCAATTGTCTTCTATATCATACAAAAATATTTTGGATCTATTTATTGTATCAAAATTATATATAGATGCCACTCATTGAGAAAACATCTTTTAATGTTTACAAGAAAGAAATTTCGTTTAATTCATTTGACAGTCTATCACTGAGCTATATTGACAATAGAATTGCAAAAATAATTTTAATATCTTTAATTTTTATGATAAATACTGTTTACAGAGAGTACGATTAGAATTACAAGAAAAAAATTTAAAAAAAGTACCTTAATGCTATCAGATTATCTATATTTGAAGTAAAAATAAGAAAATAAAGAACAATATGGATTTAAGAATCTATGATTCTCATGAATCCTTTGTTGAATTTGTCGAAATTTCCTAAGAAATAATCATTGATATCGATTTTCCAATGATTGAACAAATCAATTTTGTTCGATATTGGAAAATCATAAGTCTTAGTTATAATTATTATATATAATTTTTCTTTAATGTCTTATATTCATTCATGAATTCTTCTTTTTTTTTTTCGAGTTTTTATGGATCATAGACATCTGATTGTTTCCTATAATCAAGCTGTTACTTGCCTAGAAATATTACAAAAGCAGAAACTTATTTATCATATATTTTCTCACAGCATGCATAATACATTTTGGTTTTTTTTAGTAAAGAAGCAAAAATACTATCTTGTTTTAATACTTTGAAGAAAAAAAAACTAAAATCAACAGTCTTATTCGAATGATAATGTAGTAAAATTAATTTAAATCTTCATAGTTCTATAAATGATTTTTAATGCTATTAAATTATTTCGTTGATTTTCTCAACAAATAAAATTTACGTTTGACATTTAGTTATACTACCACATCAGATATATAATAAATATGCTTTATTGTTATGAAAATGTATTTCTTATTGCTAGTTCATTAGGCAATAAAATACAAAGAAAATAGATACGAATATTCGTTCTTTCTATTATTTATTTCAAGAAAAAATATTCATTATTTAAAATTTTTTTTTTTTTCTTACTATACTAATATTTTATTCAACAAAAATCATGTCAAATTTAGAAAAATATGATGCTTCCAATCAAAAGGAAGAAAAGTACTTCTTAAGTATTTTGAAGTATCATGAAGTATCAGTGAGAGTATTGTACTTCAAAGTACTGAAGAGTTGTTCTTTTTCTTCTTCTTCTTCTTAATTCAAATCGAATATAAACAAAAAAAAACGAATATGAAATTCCGAATAAAAACCTAAATATTAATCATAATCATTATCCATACAAAATACTTAACATTATAAATCTTTATAAATTATAATTTTCTAATTTAGATTCCTTTTCTTTCAGATGCTTCTCAGCTTACATGCTGCAGCATAAATTATTTTCTTATGGACAACATTTTTTAAAGGTCAATACTCATTATCGCTTGTCCTATATTTCTCATCGTCTAGTATCATATGATCAACATGAATCTCCAACTGTTCCTCATCATACTCATTCAACTCCAACATTATTATTAACACAAAAACTTCCTTCATCATGTCATGTACTTATTGCTGGTGGTGGTATTATTGGTCAATCAATAGCTTATCATTTAAGTGAAATTGGTGTTAAAGATGTTGTACTTATTGAAAAAGCAAGGTAATAAAAATGTAGGAAACATAAATTTCGTCGCAGTGATTTTTAATAGTATTTTTCTATTTTAAACACAATACATACATCTAATTATTGTGTTTAACATATCCATATATGACTGAATGAGGCATTCGATAGTGTCTGAAAGTCTATGGCGAAGTTTAAGTTGTTCAATAATGTTCTTCTTTTTATGTAATAAGGATTCTTTTTTTTTTTCTGAAATAAAAATAGATTAGCATCTGGTACAACGTGGCAAAGTTCTGGACGAGTCTCTCATATACAAGATACAGTCATTGAAACACGTTTTATGAAATATTCAAGACAATTATATGAACGATTACATAAAGAAGGACATGATATTGGTAAAATTTAAAAGTTTTTTTATATTTTTTAATAATGCAAATTTTCTTTTTTCATCGTAGGCTTTAATGAAACCGGTAGTTTATGGATAGCTCAAACACCTGATCGACTTCATACACTTAAACGACAATATTCTATAATCAAAGCCTTAGATATTAATTGTGACATATTAAACTTAGAAAAATTAATTGAAAAAGTACCAATTATTGCTCCACAAGAAATTTGGGTATAGATATTAATCAATAAAATATCATTTATTTGAATATATTTATTTCTAGGGTGGTCTGTGGATTCCCAATGATTGTATGGTTGATCCTGTACCATTAGCTTTAACTTTTGCTCAATTAGCAATAGATAAAGGTGAAGAAAAACCAAAAAAAAACCAAAATTTTTATTCTTAAAATTCTATAAATAAATTTTAGGAGTTAAAATTATTGAAGATTGTTATGTCAAAGAAATTCTTACAGAAAAACAACGTGCTGGACAATATGATCGTGTAACAAGTGCCATAACATCACAAGGAGATATTAAATGTGATGTATTTATTAATTGTACAGGAATGGTAATATCATTTTTATTTTAGAATAATATTCAAAACAAACATTTATTTTTCTTTTTATTAGTGGGCACGAGAACTTGGATTTCAATCTTCACCAAGTGTTAGAATTCCTACTCTAGCATGTGGTAAGTTTGTAAATTTATATATGATAAAAGAAAAAATTAAATATTAAATAAAAATTTTTGATTAGAATATATATGTTTAAAAACAAAACCAGTAGCAAATTTTCCAAACAATATTCCCATTGTTCATAATCCACACGAACGTTTTTATATTCAACCATTAATAGATGATAGTGTATTAGTTGGTGGTTTTCTAAGTCAATCGAAACCTCTTTTTTCAAATGGTGTTCCAGATACATTTCATTATTCTCTTTTACCTG